GTATCACTTTGCCAATGGTGGCACATGCTGTTTTAGGAGTGGGGAGTTCATGATGCCAGTGTTGTACTGTAATAAAGACATTTATATAACAAGATGACAATTGTCGTTTCATTTAAAGTTGCGGGAATAAAATGTGAGGTTATGACGCCTTTAAAAAAATCAGATAGTAAAAAAGACAATGTTAACGATACATTGCAGTTGTTTATCCATGCGTTCTTACATTGCTAACTGATAACAGTGATGATGATTAGACTTACATTACGACGAGTGGTAATACGGATCTTGTTTTACAATACATCTCTCCACGGCATGGCTACTCCCTGCCGCTCTTATCTCATCTCACTTTACGTTCCTGCCCGCGCTCTACGTTCTAAATCCTTGCCCTCTCTTTAGGTTCCTCCTCCTCCTGCCGTGCGCACATGCAGGGTCTCACCTCTCTTTGCTGGAACACACCTCCCTTGCACGTTAAACAATCAATCACCCCCTCTCACGACCCTCCACCGCTCCGCTCTTAAAACCCACTTATTCTCGATTGCCCGCTCTTCCTTTTCCCCTTGTTACTCTCCACCTCGCACAAACTCCTTCCCGGTCCCCATCTCCCCGTGGTCACCCATCAAGCCACTCGCCCACCTTCGTTTCTTCCACGCTTCGTCACCACCACATTTTACACACACACACACACAAATCCCATCCACTCATTCAGTTTCATTTCGCCAAACCCTCTTGTACCATACGTTCGTTCACTAGACAGCGTCTTGGTTAAAGGCGCTATATAAATGTATGATAATATACCATCAATGTATATACCTATGATGGTGATAACATTGTATAACATTACAACCATTATCATGGTCACAGCAATTAAACAAAACATATATAATACGAAAAACGTGTGGCAATAGGGTACTTTAATAAACAAAATATTATCAAGAAATGTAAAACATGGTGAAGTATACGAACATAAGACAATTCTACTGTATGGTACACAAATTGAGAGTCCATACGTAAAAACCCATATCATTACACCCATCAAAAAACCGGTAGAACTATTTGCATATCATTATGGTGACGGCATGGTTTATTCATTATTATGGGCATGAATCGAAATGCAAATTGTGTTTCAGCAAAAGTCCCAACAGCGCTCGGTAACAACTGTATCATACCTCCATCGGGATGACTTCAAAAGACAATGAATGGGGCACTCCATCCACCCGCTTAAATACGTAAATGGCCCCACACTCGTTACGTAATATTATCACGTCTTTGTGTAAACACCGCGACAACGACATTCGCTGCTGCTGTTGTTTCGACACATCTCTTTAAGTCAAGATTGGTTAATTAATTGCCTTTAAGTTAATCAAGTGCCTGCGCGTCTCTTGGGCATCATAGCCACCACTTTCCTACACTCCCCTCCACACATACACACATCCAACCTCACCCCTACTACACCCCCCCACCCACCCCTCGCTGATTCCGATTGCTCAACTGATTGTGGAGAGGCACCCCTTGTCTGTGTTAGTGCAGGGCCATTGTTAAGTACATTGACACTTCGTGACCGGCAATTAGACACACGCATTAAGCAACGCCTGCGTGTGTTGATGATGATAATGGCGATGACGCTGCTGCTGCTGCTGCCACTGTCCGCGTCCCGGTCTCCCATCGGACCGGTTTTTCTTGGGAGTTTGCGTAGACGGCCTGCACGCGCCTACTGCTGCAGAAATTCGTTGCTGGTTTGTTGGTGGCGATAGTGACGATGACGGTGATTGTGATGATTGAGCCACCGCCACCAAATTTCACCTTAAAAACCCGGTGGTGGAGTGTGTCGCCTCCTCAAGCTGGAGTAGGGGATGGGACATCGAAAGACAAACAGCAGCAGCGATCTTGACCGTGTGAATCAATAGCGAACACTCGCATACCTGTCAACCCATACGGTTTACCCCGTATTCTTGTACAGGGAAATTGAGTTTTCAGGCCCATACGGCGTACAGACGTTTCAATACGGGCAAAAAAACGTAGGTTTTTTTGGCTCTATTTGTGTTGTGTTTTTCTCTTGTGATTGGACGTTGTGGGATGAACGTTGAGATTTATAAGGGCACGGGATGATAAAAAAGGTCTGAATTGGTCTGTAATAAGTTAGGCAGCACTGGTAAGGGGTTGACAGGTGTGCATTCGATAGGTTGTTTTTCTTATTGAAAACATCGATAATTATAGACTAAAGTCTGAACGGAAATATCAATGATGATGATGATGGTGGTGGTGTCTTCATTGGTTCAATATTTAGGGACATGACAAATGCACATATTTAAAAGGGACGTTTTATTATTTAAAACACATTTAACATATTGATAACATTTCGAAATAACTCGGTCGACGTTTGTTGTTGTCGGAGGTGTATGTGTGCACGTCTGTGTTCCATGCGACAGAGGGGAGCAATTCAAATGAAACATTGTGCGCTGGTTGTTGTACGTTTAGCAATCATCAGGCGCGTGAAAGGATGCTAATTAGTATATTTGGAAAGACACAGTGTCCAGTAAACATGCCAACGTTGGGTCAACGTTTAGCCCAACGTTGGCGTGTTTTACTGGGGTGCTGGGTCACTGGGACTGATTGCATAAGACCAAGAGTTTCACATCCACTTAAAAAAAGCATTTTCTTTCTTCACCAACGTGTCCCAAGAGCAACACAATTTATATTTGAAATTTTCTTTTTTAACAGATATGACCTTTGTGTGTTCCATGGCACGGACAGTTGGGAAATGGGGTTGGTGAATCACGGAGAGATGGAGCCGCCACCTTGCTCCAGGTAGCCAATTGTAGTGAAAAGGGATGCCCCTGTATAGGGGCGGGGGGGGGGGGGCAGCATAGCAAGTAGGGTTCGGAGAGGTTTACATTTTCAAGTGGGGCTTGGTCAGGACGTGGTAAAAAGGACGCTCATCAAGCCTGACAACCAAGGGAGGGAAACAAGAATGTTTGCATTCACCCTGGAGATGCAGCAATGAAATCGGCTCCGGTGCAGGTAGTAGGTGGGTTGCTGCACACAAGGGGGCACCAGGGGGTGCATCGGCAAGTCATCTCAGTCCGTCAACCCATGGCACCTGGGTCTGTCCTGTGACCTGCCAGCGGGCGTTCAAAACTTCAAGGTGGCCTTAAAGTGCACATAGCCTGGCACAAGCGCAGTGGCGACGTCACCGCCACTTAGTGGCGAATGGCGGTTGTTGTATCACAGGGCTGTGAGGGATGGTGAATATTTGTGAAGGTCTTTATCCAGCAAGGGATATAGCATGGCAGAAGATGATAATTTGTGAGGACTTCGTTATCCTGGCGTATGTGCTCCGGACAACTCCAGATTCCTGTCAAATGCAATACCGTCATTCTAAAGGAGCTGTGTGGAGGCTTTCCTGAGTGCATTATAGTATTATTACAAAGTAAAAGTGCAGCCCTGCAAGTGCTTAATCTCGCCACTGCTTGCAAAAGGATCTCAACCACAGGGTATTGTGGCATCTTCTGCCACGTTGGCCAGACGTCTTGAAAGAGACAGCTGTAGCCACACTTTACACCACCAGACGCGCGCGACCTGCCGATTGGCTGTGATGAACCCATTGAGGCCGCTGGGTTGACAGAGGCCGGGGGATTTAATACATGTGTCCATCGTTTAACTGCTGTGGTGAGATATCGAACCGGCGACTTCTGGATGACAAGTCCAGTGGGCTAAACCATTACACCACGGCAACATCTGAATTATTATTATTGAGTAATGGTAATTGTAAACGGGAACAAATAAATCGCTGCAGTAAGAATGTGCAAGTGGGCTGCATATTGAACGGCATTCGGCAATCAGTTATATTCGACATTATTGATTGATTGGAGACGGACAAATTGGCCGCACTTGTTTTTTACTGATATATTTTAAATATTAGATTTTCAATCCTATCCTAATCCACTGCGCCGTGTTTTGTCATCCGGAGTTGTTTGACCATATTTCACCACGATGGTCAGTGTGGACGGTGGGGCCCAGGACCGGTTCGGATCTCACTCGAGCTGATGTCAGCTTTGGCCAGGAATAGAACCCAGGGCACCAGGCTCAGAGCCCAGCACGCTAAACATTGAGCCATCGGTCCAAATCCTCATGTTAATTTTACCATGACAAAATTAACTATTTTTAATGGTTTAAAAATCCATGAATATACAACTAGAATATTAAACTGTTGCTTATTTGGATGTGTATTATGGCCCATTTCGAACATCTGGGTCAGAGAAGATGATGGCACAATTTGGATCTCCTGTTCAACTTTCCATGCATGATAAAACCATGAGATAAGTACAACATTACTTGCTATTCTTGTAATATAACTTCCAAAATAATATAGTGAAGTTATGGAACTGCAATGTGTTGCCTCGGTGGACCGGCGGTGCAGTAAGTTAGCAGCCTGCACTTTGAACGTGGCCACCCGAGTTCAATTCCCAGCCACAGCGAATATCAATGGTAACATCTAAAATGGTCAATAAACTCTGATGAATGATAAGGCGTGGGGAGGCCTTTATCCAGCAGTAAATTGACAACGGACTGCATATTGTATATATTTTTTCCCATTTAATGTAACCTTATTTATGGCAACATTTAGAATACCCCCTCTAAGCCAGCTTCAAATAATAGAGCTTCTCAAATTAAACAATTCATGCATAACTTGTAGCGCTTTGTCAGCCTACTACTACGGTGAAGGCCTCCCCATGTCAAATTCTTTGGTGATGCTGACGTGCACTAGATTGGTGGAGGGTGAGCACTATGACCGGTTCACGAATCGCCCACCGCTGATGTTGGCTGTATGCTGGCAATCGAACACAGGTCACGGAGTCCATAGCACAGTCCTGCCTACGATCGCATAACCAAGATATTACAAGTGCGCCGTGTCTTGTGTATTGTTGTGTTTTATAAATGAAAGTGAAAAAGCAAAATAGGAGCGAATAACAGACATCAGTGAACAAGTGCTACGGAATACAATACATTTCGATATGCTTTTTTATTGTTATAGACATGTATAATGCCACGATAATGATCACCCAGCAAATTATACACAACGCACAGTCCCACCAAAAATTGCACTAATTTTTGCACTTTAAAAAAATGTTTATTTCAGACATCTACTTTTATAGCAGCGAAATTCACAACTGTTCTTTTCTTACTCCAGAAGCGGTTACGGGAGGGGACGTTTCTAAAAAATAAACTGAAAAACTATATCGGCAAACGGAAACAGGATTTACACAGACACGAAGAAAATCTAATCTACAATTACTCAGTGATAAGTTTGCATGGATTCTGTACAAAGAGCCACTACGTATGATTACACTGTTTAACAATTTTTTTTGTTCCTGGGTAGTAAGTATTATTTCGTAATTGCTTATGCCTCAAAAGTACAGAAAATGGCTATTATTTCCCACAAACTTTGCTTTTGTGAACAGGACAATGAGATTTTGAAATTGACCTATTTTCAATGGGAAAACGGGAGAATTTTGACTGAAAACTTTCGTGACTGCAGAAATTAATATTCTTGGTTCTTTCGGTAAGAAAGAACCAAGACTACGGGATAATTTGTGTCTTTTCGTTCACGTAAAGTGATAAAAAAATTACATATTAATCAAAATTAACATGTATTTATACTAAAGTAATACAAAAATTACTTCAAAAGATTTAGACACCAAGGCGCACTACCACAGGCGGGACTGGCCACAGTGGACCGAGTTGTCTGTGGGGAGGAACAACGTCAAGTGGGAGCCACTGGTGGAGCCCGGAAGGTGCTGATGCCACCACTGCACATCTAATTGGGTCTTAAGAAACAATTTTATGTTAACGAAAAGACACACATTTGCCCGTTTTCTCATTGCAAATAAGTAAATTTCTAAATATCACTGTCCTGGTCACAAAAGAAAAGTTTGTTCGGAACAATAGCCATTTTAATACCTTTTAGGCATAAGCAATTACGAAATAACACTTACTACCCAGGAACAAAAATTGTGTTACATAGTGTTATCATCTCCACAGAGACAAGAGAGAGGTACGGGAAGGATGCCAGGTGAATGCAGGTTGAATAGCAACAACTAGTGGCCTCCACGAAGCTTGCACAAGCCAACACTGGTCTTACGCGGGGATCTCGTGACTACTGATTTACGAAGCAAACGCACAGACACCAATTCGCAGTACATGGGCACGGCCGGGAGAATCAAGCTCAGAGGTTCAGCAAAACACACAGACACATACATGCACGCTCCAGTAGTCGCTGTACAACGCACAGTTACGCAGGATCAATGCGAGGGTTTCTATAGGCGACCGTGGGGTTCTCGCACGATCAAGATCCAGCGGACACGGTTTTACACGCCACACAGGTAAAACGCATGTCGGCGATGGACCAAAGATGCGATGCCTGCGCGTGGGAGCAATCGTAGGGTACCGCAAACTTCATTATTTGTTTTGTACATTTTGCACAGCGCAGTACGGACTTGACACCAAATGGTCACTCGAGGAAGACCCACGACATTGGTTGGGTTGGTAGACACAGTTGGTTTAAACGATGTACCTACATTGCAGCGTTTTTTTCAGTTGTCCTGCCCCGCTTTGGTCGAATCCCTTTAAAGCCACGATGCAGGCTGGAAATTTTAGGGCAATTCTCGACAGCGATCGTCGCGAAAAATTGTTGCCACACCTCTTGTATATATGATTATGAAAAAAACTCAAGTTCCCCCCCCCCCCGCCCAAATATGGATAAACCAGGTTTCTGCTCCCCCTAGTGGGCAACTGGAAAAGCAACTTCCAATCAGACCACATGCAGTTCACGTTACTCGCCAAGACTGTGTGGCCAATCATCGCTCGTCAAGCACACCATTCAACGAACTTTGTTTTGACTGTCTAGACAGAATTCCGTCACTTTACGCCATTGCCGTATACCAGGTTTGCCATAGTTGCTCAAAGCAAATTAATTGCTGGTGACAATTTCTGCAAACAACTGCCCTGAAATTTCACCATGACATATCGACCTCGCGATATCACCGCCGGAAACCTAGGCCCCACATCTCCTCCGCACACAATGTCACATTCGGCTTAAACATCTCACACCCGTATAGCAGTTGGGCACAGCGATAATTATGTTCAGAGCGCATTTGGCAAAAGTGTGGCGCTTTACTTACAGCGCACTTTTATTATTTGGTTGTCATGGCTTGCACCTCTCATGCTCGGTGGCAAGGGTTGCAATATTGTGCCCAAGCGAAAAGAACCCATGCCTCATGGTTGACGTATCATCTACACCGATGGCATCTCCGAATGAACAAATCCACTTTTATTTGCGACAATGGTCGTTCATCACTTTAGCAGGCTTCATTCGTAATACCGGTCGAATCAGGTATGAAATATTTAATGAATTGAACACAAAAAAAAATCACACATGAAAGTTAACCCATCCTTTCAAAAGCTCGATTTTTTTCTTCATATGTGCGTCAGAGAATATAATTGACAGTCAACGGCTAAAAATAGTCAACGCAAAAGGCCAGATTTTTTTTTCCCCGTGCAAAATTAATGGTGCTGAGATTCTTAAGTTACTGTAGTGGCGGTGTTTCGTTGCAACAGCGGGCATTCTTGATTTAACACATCAGGTTAACGTGAAACAAATCAGTACAATTTAAATAAACTATGCTGGAAAACCCGAATAGGGCACGGCCTCTCCTGTCAGTCAGCCTCAAACATCTGGCTCTCACACAATAACATTTTTGCATTGGCTCGCAAAGCACTGACATGAATGCAACTCTCCCGGAAAAAAAGAGCAAACATATTAGAAAACAGAAAGACACAAGAAATTAGGTGGCATTACCGTCATCCCTGAATCTTCACTGTCGGTCTATTATACCGGGGTTCCTCTTATACAATCAATCAGTGGTATACATGAATCAGGAACATTAACCTGTGACATTACGCCTCACCAAAATAACTGCATACATGTGTTATGTCATAGATAACATAACAACAATTTCAATGGAAATGGCAGAAAAGAAAATGCAATCGCATCTTAAAGACACCTTGCAAAATCAATTGAGAACACCGTGAGGGTAGAAGGGGGTTCTGTGACGGTTCGGGTGAGGGCAGGGAAACACGCAAGAGGAGAGAGACATCACGGTATAGGCCCGGACCAAGCAAACCTTGGCCCAGCAACTTACACGTTTCAGACGTGTCACTTCAAGATGTACAACTCACACCGCTATCCGCTGACTCTGCACCGTGCGCCCACAAGGTAAATATTATGATTCTGTCTATATTTAAATACACAAGTGCGAACGATCATTCAATTATAAGCACTGCGGGCGACGTTTGAGACGAGGCAGACCTTTGTACGGCACAGACTGAGAAGCCATCTGTAGGTTACAATTCATGGTGAAGGAGAGGCATCACAGAAACACTTCGGGGGGGGGTGTGAGGGAGGTGGGAGACCACATCATACGATTCACTTTCAAGTTTTCAATATTTAACCACGACTAGACACAAACAATATGCAACTGCGGTGTGATAATGAAGCGCTCGCTGAGGTCGACGTTTGCTCGCTGGGAGAGCAGCAGCAGCAGCAGTGCGGAGGATGAGAGCGAACGCCCTGTGACCCGCTGGGCGAGTTGGCAACTGACTCGGCCGGCCGCCGTCGCCTTCTGCTGCACGGCCACGCTCGTAACGAAGGCGTACGCATCGTAACAAGGGTGCAACGATTCGCCTTCGTTAAGGGCAATTCGATGAATGCGACTCAACGATCGATCACTTTCTCAGCGTTGTGACGAATTACGCGGCCACAATTGACGGCAAGGAATCACGCATCCAGACTTTTTTTAAAAATCTGATCCACTGCTGGATGAGGGCCTCCCCACGCCGTGCAGGCCGTGGGGGTTAATTGACCGTGCGTCGCCATGCTAGGTCAGTGCGGATGGGTTGCAGGTGGTGAGCACAGCAGACGTGGGCGCATAGAAGTACAGCCAATGCCCGCGATGTAATCACACAGCCTGCAGTAATCCGCTGCCGCTCAGGGTATATGACTCGGAAAGCATGTCATCCTTATTGAAGCATGTCATCCTTGAAAACGAATTCCTTCTGAATTGCTTCTTCTGTTTAGTTTGTTGTCCTTCCCTCGCACCTCCGTTTAACACGGTTGGCTACGTACGGTGCGAAAGAAGTTCAACATACATACACGTGATTCAATGCACATTAGCGAAGAGATTCAATATCAATCGCTGAATCGAGGCGTCACTACACCTCTACAAGATTTCAATGTGAGAACGAATGGATGTATAAAAGCTACATTGAGCATGAAAGTGTGACGTGAGATAATATATGCTAAAACGGGGGTGTCTATCCCAACTAAATACATTGCAGACATTCAAAATGCAAACACTACACCCGTCTATGTGTGATGTCACACGGTACAGTATATATATGTGTAACGTGAATATTTAATTTAAATTGCATTTGGCAAAGAACCACCGATTAATTGTATCCACTAAGGTCAACGTTTCACGTAGTATATGTGATCTCTGAACCAACATGTTATAGATATGTATCACTAAATACACTATTGTAATGTATATACTCTCATATAATTCGGCGTAATTTAAAACGCATTTTTTTGTTAAATTGATGTCTTATAGCTATTTAAAACACGTACGGTAGAAGCTACGAATGCACTGAATATGCAACGATCACCCCGAGACTCCCGATCAGAATTGACACATGGGGGGGGTCAGCCCCCCCCCGTACCCCCCATTAGTCGTGAGAAAAACAGAGGGCCCATTGGTTCGCGGGGCCCTCTTTTTGAGTGCGAGATCCGGGGCTTCATTTGCGCCATTCGCCTCCTCGCCGCCACCCGGCAGCCACGGGTGGCCCTGCTGAAGCGAGCAATGCGGCCTCTGAAATCTCACCACCGATCCGGCGAAAAAAGCACTGCAGCACTTGGGACTGTCACGCGACCCCAAAAAACAAACAAAACAAACCGGGACCAAAAAGCCAGCCGCAGAGGTAACACACGGGGAGGTGGGCCACTATCAGAATTAAAAATTTAAAGTTGCCGAGCGGGGCGGGGGGGGGCATCTGTTGGTAGACACATCATGGTAAAAATCCACACTACGGTAATACGCCCATGCAACAGCGGAGTCACGCCGAGTGTACACCACACGAGGTAAAAGACGCAACAACACGCGAAACAGCACGTCGTCATTAGCACAGCAATTAAAAATTACGACTTTTCTAAATCCCCTCCCCCCCAATCCAACGGCTAAAAGTCGCCCTGGATGACACGGAAAGGTCGACTCGGCAATGGGGGGCCGGAGGGGAGGGGGGGGAGCCCGCACGAGACTCGCGGTCATTCCGACGTTTCGCGAAAACCACGACAGGAGGATTCCTGATTTCGGCGAACGGGCGGGGAGGGGGTGGGTCGGGGGGAACGCCGAACGCCTCGTGGGGGAGCGGACGAATTCGTCCGACGCGGAATCGCCGAACGGCAACGGTCAAAATGACAAGCGAGGAGAGAACGCCCTGCATAGAACGGAACGCCGCGCCGCGGGGGTGAGGGGGGGTCAGGGTGGGGGTGGTGACCCGGCGGGGTCACGACGGCGAAGTTAGGGAGCGACGTCGGTGAGCGACAATCGTGAAAAAAAGTCACCGTGGGGTTACATTCACGTATGCATAAGACGAAAACATTCAAGGCCGGGGGGGAATCTTACAATCTCCGGCAAACTTCGAAGACAGGATGAGCCCAGCAGTTCTGAACGCATGGGTCACGCTGCCCCCTGATTTCCAGGGAAGGGGGTGGGGCAGTGGGTGGTGTGCAGGCTGCGGCATGGATACCGTGCAGGAGAAATTTTGAATGGTGCACGGTGAACACATTCACCACATTGCGGAGACAATGCAACACTCATACACAAATGCCTTATACTTGCACAGAACTCACCGATACGCAACATGGACCCACGTGCATCACCAACACTAAAACACACGAATACACAACGCGAAACACATGCCTCACGCGAAAACACACCGACACGCAGCAGGAAACAAATGCCGTACTAACAACGGGTGGACTCTCTGTGTGCCTTTGCGACCAACCGTCGACTTTTCGCCCTTCGGGGCAAGCAAACGAGCTCGTGCAATCGCGGCGGAACGCGTCGATACCACTTCAGGTCACGCGCGCGCGCGGCAGCAATTCCTCTTCAACAAATTGGCCGCAAATCCTTGCTACGTCATCGTCACCCGCTGGGCCAGATCAGAATTCGGCACCACAGGTGGTGGCAAACGTTTGGGGCGACCGATTTGTGTGAACGGCAAATGAACGTGAGACTACGTGATTACATCATCACTATCTATGGTGGGGGAAAAAAAGTGTTCTGGCTGGCGTCCTGCCTGCCTGGATTCCTGTCTGCCTGCATGGCGCATGTGGTGGTGAGGAGGGGGGGGGGGGGGATAGAGGGAAGTCGAAACGGAGAGAAGCTGAAAGGAGAGGGGCAGGGACATGGAGTGGAGAAGAAAGAGCAAAGGCGGAAAGCGGAAAGCAACTGGCAATGGAAGAGAAAGAGAAATCTAGGGAGAGGCAAGAGAGGTTGAGGCGGGAAAGGGAGCGTTGGCAAAGCGAATAGCGAGGGTGAGAGGTGAGAGAAAGAGAGACGCACGTGGAAAGCGGTAGCGGGAGGGAAGTGGTTGAGAAGCAGTGGAGGGAGTGGAGGAATATGGAAGGAGAGGTAGAAGTCGGGACAGAAAATAGAGGAGAAAGAGAGAAACAGAGCAAGACATCGAGATGAATTGGGATATGCAGTGCAGAGGAGGCCAGAGAAAGCTGCATACAGACAGGGCTCTGTATGCGATTAAACGTTTTACTGGCTGCCTGGGAGGGATGGAAGGACGGACAGTCATATCCAAAGTTCACGCGGTTTCTAGTTCTTATTAAATGCCACTTTTATGGTTGGGGGTTGGCTCATCATGCCTCCAATGTTGATAAAATCAGTACCACTTTGTGCGGAAGTCAACAGTGGTTGTTTTATGGATATACTTATCCCCACCACAGGAATGTGGATGTTCCACCACTTGAAATTGGAAATGAGCAACCACCTCTTCTCATTTAAACAGGAACTCACTTTGGCTTTTGACTTGATTGGGTATATAAAGACGTTGGTATAAGTCAGTTGGTACCGACAAGTAAATTATTTGAAATGGGCCCATGGACGAACTTGGCATTGTTAAATGAAGGATTCAGATAGCAGATGGACTTGTCTTTGACTTTGAAGGTGAATCCACTCGGCATGCGAAACCTGCCATCGAGATGCCCGCAGAGGGCAGCAGAGCACCGCAAAACGATACGTGCGAAACATTTAAGACGTCCAACAAAAATACATTTAGAACGCGAGCGGAGCCCGCAAACAGGTTTGGGGTTGCAACACGATTCACGCACTTTTTTTCTTTTACTCGGAAACATGTCATTTTCTCGGGCAGCGCTGCCGTCGGTGCGAATTACTCATTCCTCGTTAGAGAAGCCAAAAAATACGAGACATCACAAATACGCCGTTATTGCCAACATGCCAGGGTGCGTAGGGACCAAAGGGTGCAAGCAACACACACACACACATCGTGCCAAACGTACACAATTACAGAACCGCGTCAGCTTGAACATCGAGCACAAACACAATTACAGGGTGTCGGATTTTCAACTCAAACGTCACTCTCGAAAAACGCTACCGTTTCATACAAGCGTATAAATATGCGTGTATTTTATTTAGCTATGCGCTCTCTCTCTCTATATATTTTTTACGTGACTACATTTAGTCAAGCAGAGGGGCCTCGACTCGTAGCGGTCAGCAGCAACGACGTTGAACGGGGGGAAGGGAAATATCTACGACAATCTTTTAGCATATTCGTTATCGCAATATTTTTTTTAAAACAGCGTGAAAGCAAAAGCCTCCCCTCCCAACCGGTAAGCGATGCCCCCACCGCCGCCTGCCGAGTCGCCGCCGCAGATGCACGCGGTGGCGGTGGCAGACTTTCTTGGGCGCTCGCTGCATGGCTTGTTGGAAGAAGTGATTGGCGGTTGCGGCGGTTGCGTCGGAGGCGGCGATCAGTCAGAAAAGAGGCTGACGAAGGACTTGCGAAGGTTCCGGATGGTCTCTGCCTTGGCCTGGTCTTCCGTTCCGGGTGCCGAGCCGCGCGACAGGGAGGGCTCGGGGATGTTAAACGTGTTTGTCAGTGACTGAGATTTGCTGCCAAAAGGTTTTGGGTGGGGGAGGGGAGGGGTGGGGAGGAGGAGGTGGGTGAGATAAAATATATATAAAAAAAACACGAGGTACGGTGGAGTTGAGAGGGTGAAAGTTGTAGATTATTTTTTTGAAATTTAGAGTTTGTTTTGCGAGTAATGGTAATACAACGGTTGCACATTTTTTTTTTGGTAAGCGAGATTTCTCTGAAATGCTGTTTAATTCATGAGCACCGGTTCATTACCTTGTTGAGTAATATTTCCAGCTAAAACTTTCTAAAAGTGAGTGAAGGAAAAACAAGACATTTAAGGGAAAAGAAGAGAAATCAACAAACACACGTGCACAACATCCACGGCAATCGGCACATGCATTACGGAAGCTAAGACGGTATCCAGTAAACAACGTGGCAATTGATTTGGCAAGCAAACAAAACCACATCACGATAACAAATGCAGAATATAAGCCATTCTTCCCCCCATAATCGCGCGTCTCAAAACACAACAACAGCATACGTTCATTGCATCGTTCAAAATGCTGAACCCCTTGATAAAGGACACACTTCGCTGCTCTGGTAGGAATGATCTGTATGACTTAGGGCAGTTGGTTCTCAACCTTTCTTGGCTACTGAACCCCCCTTGTTCAATTTTGTTTCAACTAAGCACCCCCCTTGCCTGACCCCAACACTGTTTCTGAGAAACGAATATATGAATAATGAACCTAAACATATATTTTTACCAACTGTCCATTTCGTGAGGTGTATCCGGACTAGCAAGTAACTGCAAGCCGATAAAAAAGATACAATTCAACGGACCCTCTGCACTGCGTGAGGGCATTTGTTTAGGCTCGCTGGTAAATCTTGGAAACCACATTGTTTACGATCAATGAGTTTCTAAATGTCTTTTATATCGTTCTATGTTACCACTATGGATTTAAATGTTATAGTAGTTATTTTATATTGGCAGATTCAAACATGATTATTCACCAATGACTCGCATACACGATTTAATTTCACATTTATAAATCACCTCACATAAACCCTGGGACATTTCCACGCAGCCCCAGGGGTCTGCGGACTTCCAGTTGAGTACCACTGAGTTCGGGGATGGCCAATTTAAGTGCAATGAGCCATCAACGTTAAGAGGCAAAGTTCTAATCCAGGTGCCCAGAGTTGTTGGGACGGGTTCTCATGTATTGTCAGGATTGTGCTCACAGCCTGGTCATCGATCGAAAAAACCCCCATCATGTCTGCCTTGGCAGATAACTTGGCTCCAGTCTAACTCAGAGAAGAAGCACGATACACACTATCAGGTGATGGACACGAGGCAAAACGCTGAATTGAGAAAATGAAGGATCAACGTGACCTCAGAAGTAGTTCTGTGGTGTCATTGTCTGGGGTCGTTTTGTTGTACCGCAACATTACACTTACACAGTGGCTCTCCGTATTCATCTCTCCCTAAGCTCTCCCCAATCAAATCGTGATCTAGACTCACTATAAACACACAAAGCCATTAAAAGCCCTATCAAACAAATACGTACGTCGGAAAATCTTAGCCAAGGGCAGTCCGGCACGATGTAACGGTCTCTTACTGAGGGTCAGCCCTGAAGCGTTGGCTTTCTTTAAAGGGGAGGCGGCATTCAAAAGCTCAGTCGTGGGGGGGGTGAGGCGGGGGGGGGTCCATCACGGTCAACGTCAAACGAAGTTAACAAATGTTGACTGTGAATCGAATTGAGTAGCGAACGACACGACCTGCTTTTGCCACAGGAAAGGCTGCGGGCATGCCATCGCTGCATCACCACTGGTGTTCAATTATTGCACCAAGATATGTTTCACTTTACCAAAGGAATGAAGCAGGGGGCTGAGCCTTTAGCAGAGTGAGGGTCGGGGGTGGGGGGGTGGGGGGGTGGGAGGGAGGTGGGGTCCCCCACACCCTCCAGCCCCCCCCCAAACAACACTATCGGTCCACTCAGGGCACTGTAATCGCATCGGACGAATCTGTGCGTCGCCGCGTACACAACACCAATGGCACGGCGACGCTCACTCGCACGGGGGCGGCATGCGACACACACACACACACAGAGAGACAGCGCGCGCGAGAGAGGGAGAGAGAGAGGGAGAAGCGGCGGCAAACGACGATGGGCGTCGAGCGCTAAGCAGGGCGCGCTCACTTGAGGTGCGGATGCGGCTGCGCCGCGGGCTGCTGACTCGACTGCCTCTGCGGCGGCGCCGGCTGGCCCTGCCTCGCCGGCTGGCCCTGCTGCCCCGACGGGGCCTGCGACGTTCCGCTCGACCGCGGCGGCTGCTGCGTTTGGGGCCCCGCCATCCCCCCGCCGCCGCCGCCGCCGGGCCGAGGACCCCCACCGCCTCCGTGCTGGAGGGGGGTCACCCCGGGACGCGGCGGCTGGTTGGGTTGCCCGCCCCCCGCAGGGGTCGGCCCCCCCTGGGAGGTCTGGCCAGGAGGGCCCATCCTCTGCTGCTGCTGCTGCTGCACCAGCGGAGGGGCCCCGGGTCGCTGAGGTTGAGCCCCGGCGCCCTGCTGAGGGCCGCCTCCTGTGGCGACACAAATACGCGGGGGGGGGGGGGGCAGTGCGCGCAGCGATCGTTTTGGTGAGAACGTGTCGAGGGAGAGGCGGCGGCGATGGCGATGCCACAATTTTTCTTGAACCAAGTGAGACACGCTGAGCTGTGTAGCTCTTGTTCAGAAGCGACCTGGCTCTCACAAATTATTGCTCAACGAGGACACCAATAGCTCAGTGGGCTTTACTTGGTAACATAAAAAATGTCAAAAAAATGTGTGATTTGCTTATCTTTCCTATACTTTGAAATCCTATCGTGTTTTTTTAGTTTGTTGTTATAACTTTCTGACCAGCCCCTACTGGACATCTGTGAAAAAGAGCTTTATAGTTCATCGGATTCCTCCGGTATAAATAAAGATTCTGATTCTGACAGCCTGCATTGCCGTCTGATGACCCTCTACACATCAGCATAAGCGTTTGAATTGGCTTTTGTTTCAACATGTCCTGGCCACCCCACCCCTTCACCAACACGCACTGACCAGAGTGGTGAAGTATGGTCAAACAAACCGGAGCAGCCTTTGTCCAGCAATCGATTGTCGACGAACAGAGAGCTGCCAAAGGCGAGCCTCATTCAGGTACACGTATCGTGTTACTCGTCGATAGATAAATGCACTTATAGGGGTTAACCACATGGTGGCATGCTCGGACTGGCTTTGGACAACATTTGCCCTCAATTGCAGGGCGTGAGGGCGGGATGGCAGGGTGGGAGGGCAGTGGTAATATCTGTGCATCACATCAAGAAGGGGCGTGAATTTGATTCGTGAATCGGAAGCCTTGCCTGTAGCAGAGTTTATACGTTTTCTCCCTGTTCCGCACCGGATTTTCTGGCTTTCCTCCCATAGGTAAACGAAAGTCCCCATAACAATGTGACTGCAGTTGGCCAACCATCCCAATGCTGAACAGAAACATTGCCCGCAAATTACTCCATTGGGATCACTACGCGGTAGGTAGCAACGTAGCCGCCCCACCCCTGCTGCGAAGACTTTGACAGGATCCTCCTGAAAATGTCTTGAGACTCGGTGTGGCTTTTGACGGGCAAAGAGGCGTAAAAAATATAAAATGTAAAAATATGTAGCGTGAACTCCGCCGTGCGCGGATCTTTGCCGCTGCGTTTCCCCGGGGGCCAATTGCAGCAGCGGATGTCCCGAGTGACTTTGTGGCTCTAATTTACACGTGCAGCGTGCTATTGACGCACGGCAGAGTGTCGGCGAGCCGAGGCGGAAAACAACTAAATTAATCCCCAGGGTAAGCTGTTGGCGAGAGAGGGCTCACATCCTCTTAGCTCAAGAGGTAACCACTGGAAGGTTCAGTCAATCTAGGCCAGGTGAGAACGTTTGACAGCCAAGGCGTGATGACAGTGGCCTCACGCAGAATTTAAATATGTATACGTCTCTCTCTATTTGTTAATTTTCAGCCAATGCTTTTGGCATCACGTCAAGAAAATAACGATCCGTTCGGAACTCCTGCACGGAATAGCAAGCCATCTTGTTAGACAAAGGCCCACTGAAGCCGATGTCGCAAAGCGACCTCTGAGATTCCATCAAGTGACCTCTGGCCCATGCAGTAGAGGGCAGCACTTAAATAACTCTCTTGTCTTACTTACCATTGAATATGTATTTTGGTACTTATTCAGGTAATATCAGTGCGGTTGTAAATAATTGTTACGGGAAAGTGGGTGTCAATATTTGTTTCATAGTCTACAAAGGCCAGGCACAATGGTGATTTAACTTCATATGTCTTTTCCAGAACCTGATTAAGAGTATGAATGCGGTTGAGGAGATGGAGCAATGCAATCAAATTCGCGTGTGGGTGCTATAGGTTATTAATTACACCGTAGGATCGTGCAAATGGTGACGGCTTGGCGAGGCTTTCATCCACCATTGGATTGATCATGAACGATGATGATTGTGATTAATGTGAGCACGCGGGGACAAGGAGCTGAGAAGGGGAGTGGGGGATGAGTGCTGGGGTGGAAAGCAGCGGTGTGGCCTTGGCTGGCATAGGCCCTGGGGCACAAGGAACGAAGCAGGTGGACTTCTCCACAAATCTGGCTGTCGCCTGATGAAGCTAGTTGTATTTCCTGGCGAAACGTCGTACTCAGATTGTACATGTTGTGGCTTGGCTCTCCAACACACCGGTGTGCTGTACTAGTACACTACACTATACACTACTATACACTACACTAATGCTGTACTAGTGACGAATTGGCCACGTTCTGTTTATGTGACAACCCTTAGTAGTTGGCTGTGTCGGGTGGTGGCGGGTTTAACGACACATTTATATATTTACGCGATCTAACCCAACAAACCTCTCTTATGGATGATATTGGTCGCGAAAGCCTGCCACGTGTTAAACAGAATTAAGGATATTGAGGTGACTCCAGATGTAGTTCTGTGGTGTTACAGCATGGCGGGGGGGGGGGGGGGGGAGTAAAATTGCACCACCTGTGTACTTGCTCGCTACGCCACTGATAGCGAGCCATTTGGCGAGCCATCGAACAAAGAAGGTCACTGGTTCGTGCACATTCGGATGCGCTTTTGCGGCCGTCTGGAATGCTCTTCCGATATTAGGAGCCACTGGAGCTGTGCACCTTTAAATCATTTAAGATTGAAATCTCATTAGTTTACAACTGCTTTTTGTGTTTAGTTCGTTGTCCTTCCCCCGCACCTCCGATTAGCAGGGCTGGCTACGTACGGTGCGAAAGAAGTTTAGCGTACATACAGAAGGACAGATGGAGAAGGGTTGGGGGGAGGTGGCCGGAGGCCTCACCTTGAGGTGGTGGGCGGGCCTGGGCGCCAGCCGCCTGCCCCGGCTGGGGACTCGGTGTCGGGCTGCTCCGCTGCTGTCCTGGAGACGGCTGCCCTCCCCTCTGCTGCCCAGGCTTGAGGGTGGCAGAGGAAATAATAAGTATAACCCGTAAAAACAAAGTTTTTCACTATAAATCCTTTATATGCGTGGCGGCTAGAGTCCTCTCGTCCTCTGGCTTGAGATGGCTGCCACCTATGGGTCAGATGATTGTCTGCCAGTATTAAGCAATTGGTAATTAAATATTTAATTTGTTTTTCCTAAACAGTGTAAAATTTTGGAAAAACATTTTCACGAACATTAATTGTCTCGCACAACGAGTCTGTGTGCAAAATGTCAGCTCGATTGGATCACGGGAAGTGGGTTAAAAAACGACCGAAAGATTTGCACGGTCGTAAGCAAGCAAGCAAGCACGCAAGCACGCAAGCAAGCAAGCAAGCAAGCGAACTTAATATTAAGGATTTAAAAAAAATAACGACACGTTGCAGTCTCGCGCTCAAAGACTCCACACAGTGATGGAATCAGCTTGTGTGCAGGCGCTTAGTTGCTTGGCGAGGCCGTGGGAGATGGAAAAGCCTTGGGGAGGCCTTCATTCAGCAGTGGATGGATTAGGGCTGCTATATTTTTGATGCAGCCGTAAGCTGGTTTACAAGAATGATTCACGGATGATGATGATGAGTCAAACACACAGGAATGTGGAATTCCCACCACTGGCTAATGGAGGTGCAATTATTGGTTACCCCACCCCGTTACTGGCAATTTGATGATTTATCGTAATTAAAGTTCACGATTAAATTGAATGCAATTTTTTTTTACATTGTGATGAAAGTAGCAGGCCACTAAGTGGCTGCAGGGGTCACGTGACCCCATTACATACAACATGTACAAATTAAAAGATATTGATGGATACACGCGTGATTTCAAAACTGTACAATGAGCTCTAGAATCGATCGCTATTCTCCAACTGGGTCAGGACCATTGACAAACATGAGCACTGCTTCGTGAGCACTTGAGCAGTGAATCAATTACATGTTTTACAGTTTAACTTTACCTCGTACATCAAACCAAATATATACAATTAACAAAATTTGAATGTATTGATTATTTAAAAGGTTGATCCCATTTTGCCATATCCCTGGCTATTTTCTAAGGGAGATCCGTTGTGTGTGACCACAGAGTTGGAATTGGTGACTTGGATGAGACAATCAACTTATCGGACTTGAGAACCCGATTTAAATCACGGGCGGCTGAAACCTGGATTTGAACCTCGGCTTCTTAGCGGTGTCACCTCGGCAATCTGACCTCTGTACCCAGCCAACCACCACTCAATACGATGCTCCGTTGGGCAATCATCGGTTACCGGGCTGACACCTACCAACTCACGATGTCAGAGGGCCTGGGTTAATCAACCCTGACGCCTGATTATTTGGAGTTTGCATGCGTCTCTCTCTCCCCGTGGTCGCGTGGGGTTTTTCTCCGGGGTCCTCCGTTTATTGCCACTCCACGTTTAAAACGTGCATTTAGGTTATTTACATTGTTTTGCTGCTATACATTTCCGCCTGATAGGCCACTTTGTTGAGCTCTCATTTGTGAGCCAGGTCGCTTCTAAAAAAGAAGCGGATATTCTTTGGGTCTTTCGGTAAAGTCACGAAGATAGGTTCAAAGAAAATAACAAAAAGCTACGACGTTTCCATCACAACACAAGCGGTCGTCATCAGACCAGGTGGCTCGTGGGAGAAGAGACGACCACTTGTGTTGCGATCGAAACGCCGTAGTTTTTTGTTAGTTTCTTTGAACCTATCTACGTGACTTTACCGAAAGACCCAAAAAATATGAATTCCCTGCAGTCACGAAAGCTTTAAGTCTAGATTTAAGAAGCTCAGTGGACCTTACCTGGTAATGATAAAAAATATATTATTTTTATATATTTTTTAAATGATTTGTTTACCTTTACTATACTTTGTACTCCTATCGTGTTTTTGTAACGTTCTGACCCACCCCTACTGGACATCTATGGAAAAAGAGCTTTATACTCGATGGTTCTTCCGGTAAAGTCTCACCTGATGACGATTGCTTGTGTTGCGATAGAAACGTCGTGATCTATTGATTTTCTATCTACGTGACTTTACCGAAAGAACCCAAGAGTATGGATTCCTGCAGTCACGAAAGCTTAAAATCAAGAGCTTTATAGCTCATCGGATTCCTCCTGCATAAATACATATTCTGATTATTGCCGATACCTGGATTTGTACCCCGAATTTTGGCAGTGCCACTAAGCCTCATCGTGTCTCCCGTGTGCCCCCCCTCTCCCGACGAACCTGTGGGGACGGCGCAGGCGTGCGCGGCAGAACTTGGTTCATGCGCGCGACCACCAGATCCACGATGAGCGCGCGGTCCTCGTCCTGATGCTCCCCGAGCAGCGGCATGGAGGAGTCCATTATCTTGTCACCCACGTGGGGGGGGGGGGGGGGGGGATAAGGGACAGGTGTCAATGATGCTCTCCGAGGAGCAGCATGGAGGAGTCCATTATCTTGTCACCCACGTGGGGGGGGGGGGGGGGGGGGAATAAGGGACAGGTGTCAATGATGGATGCGGAGCAGCGGCATGGAGGAGTCCATTATCTTGTCACCCACGTGTGGGGGGGGGGGATAAGGGACAGGTGACAATGATGCTCCCCGAGCAGCGGCATGGAAGAGTCCATTATCTTGTCACCCACGTAGGGGGGGGGGGGATAAGGGACAGGTGTCAATGATGCGTGCGGAGTGTACCATCGCAGTCATCGGTGCAGGAGGCGCCGGCTGCCAGATAGAGCGGGGGAATTCAGAGGGCACGTCGTTGTTGGATGATACAATAATTGCATAGGTTAATTCATGATAATTATCAATATTAATTATACAGAGCTCAAATTAATGTGAGTTTATGGTATGCTACCACCCAGCCTCATACAAAATGAGTCAGCTGTACTTATATATTTATTTATAATGTGGTACGCTTCACAAGATATTTCTTCTCTGATTTACAAGTATCATCACTTCGTTTGTTTTGAGATGCAAGTTGATTTTTTGTACTTACTTCATATTTATCACGCAGTGGGCGATGTTGCTGCTGCGTCTAATCCCAAAAGGGTAAGTTACAGGTAATGTTTCAGCGTTTGGGACGTTTGGCCAATACCAGTGGACGCTGTGTAGGTTTTTATTTTAGCTATGGGATGAAATCGGAAAACTCGGAAAAAAAAAACCCATGCAGGATAAGGGCGCCACGGTGGCGAGATGTTAGCTACCTCGCCTGATATGCAGGAGGTCGTGGGTTTGATCCCAACTCTGATGCCTATTGCTGTATATTTGGAGTTTGCATGTCCCTCTCCCCGTGGTCGGGTGAATATTTCTCCGGGTCCTCCGATTTTTCCTTCCACATTTAGAAACGTGCGTTTAGAGTATTAGGATGCAATACATTTGCACATGATAAGCCACTTCGTTGAGCTACCATTTCTGGCCAGATCGCTTATTGAAAAAGAACGCTAGAGCTCAATGGGCTTTACCTGGTACAATAAAAAATAGTTTATAGCGGGGAATATATAAACGCCACTCGCACTCACACGCTGCAGCACAGGGGAAGAAGCACACAAACTCCACACAGAAAGGCGCCCAGGTCGGGAGTCGAACCGAGCCCGTCTTTCTATAAGGCACAAATGTTAGCACTGTACTCCCCGTGCCGCCCCACTTAGACACTCATTTCAAGCTGTGATCGGTGAGAATTAAAATCGTGGTTGTGAGTCGACTCAGCCCTCCCGTCACCTCTCCCCACGGTTTGTCAAATGAGCACTACATTGTGAGAAGCCAACAGTGGTTGTCCTATGAAAAACCAGGACCCCGGCATAGGAAAGTGTAATTTCCACCACTGGCTCAGGGCTGTAAATGGGCCACGTGTGATTGTAAATCCACTTGTGAGTAAACATGAATTAACACTGCCTTGTAACAGCATGGCAGTGTTAATCACCTGCGTGGACATTTTTTGTTTACACGCGCGCCTGTGAACGACTGCCAATGGAGTTGTTTAAAACACTCTTTGATTTTTCACTTTGATTTATTTTTTTTACAAAAAAACACTTGCATCTCCTTTCCAATATCACGTTTGGTGTGTGTGAGGAATAAAAAAATCAACTCGACAGTCACTTGTTTGAATGTAAACACGTGCCCTTTTAAAATATTCTTTTTACAAAGTACAGATGGGCCCTGAGACTGACATCACCTTGAATTAGCCTGACATCTTTGATCTTGGATGCTAAGCAGCGCTTGAGCCTGGTTAATGCTTTGATAGGAGGCTGCCTGGGAATGCCACGGGTGCTGCTGTAGCGTTAGGCTGTGACGGGGGACAGGAGATGGCGATACAGCGGTGGACTGAAGCTATGCGTGCGGATGCCAGAGGTCGCAAACGGGTTTTGATTCCTTATCCGTACCCGTACCCGGCCGCACCAGGGTCGCAAATGGGTACCCGTACCCGGCCGGTCGGGTACGGGTACCCGTTCCCTACCTGTACCCTACCCGAAATGAGTGACAAACGATTACTCACCAGTGACTCACGGCCTACCCGTACCCGGCCGCACCAGGGTCGCAAACGGGTACCCGTAGCTGGGTATCGGGTAGGGTACGGGTATCGGGTACCCGGTTGCGACCTCTGGCGGACGCGTGGTGGGTTTTTCCTGCAAGGTCCTCCAGTTACCTCCCTCATCAAACTAAATACCCATGAAACTTAATTTGGAGCTTTCGTGACCGCAGGAATTACTCTTTGGTTCTTTCGGTAAAGTCACGTATAAAGAGAAAATAATAAATTAAATAATAGCATACGACATTTCTATTGCATGCTAATTTCCTCTATCCCCCCCCCTCTCTCTCTGCCCCCCTCTCTCTCTATTTAAGGCCTCGACACAGAGGCGTGGTTTCTCTGTGTGCCCATGCGTGTGTCTCTCTCTCTGTGTCTCTGTGTTATCTCTCTCTGCTTATATGCCTACATGTCTCCGGTTCTGTGTTTGATCTCTCTCTCAAATTTAGCATTCTCTGGAAGAACGTAATCAACCAGGTAGGGTGTTGACTGTTATGTTAGCCGACTCTCTGTGCTGTATTGCATTATATTTCTAAGTATACTAGGTTTGTTTTCTCTTTCATTTATACCTGATGATGATTGCTTGTGTTGCAATCGAAACGTCGCATGCTATTATTTAATCTATTAATTTCTCTTTATACGTGACTTTACCGAAAGAACCAAAGAGTAAACACCCATGAATTGGGACCCGTCTGAATTTAGGTCGTGGGATTCGGTTTCGGCCTTCCATGGGGAAATAAATGGCACCACAGTATTATTATTATTATTGTTTCCTTTGCTTTTGATCGAATCATATGGATGGAAGTCAGAAGCTAAGCAGAATTTTGACCTGGATAGTGCGTTTTTAGGCGACCACCTTCCATAAAACTGGTTGCTGTAGGCTGCTGTAGGGCTATGTTGTTGGCAGCACAGAGCAGTGCAGCGAAATCCATTGTTGTACTGCACTATCCTCCCCTGTCTATGCTCTCTGTATTAACCAACCCGCACTCATCTCCATGGTATAGAATGGTCAAGTAATAATAATAAAAATACCCACTGGCAAACTCTCATCCAGCAGTGGAACGATGAATGTGGTGTGTACAATGCACATTATTATTATTTTGTACTGAACTCTCATTTGATTCGGAGGAAGTGATGCAACGGGTTTAGCCGCTTTTCGAGCGACGCAATGACAGTGATGGAGGGGAGGGGAGGGGAAGGGTAGCGGATGTAGTTGAACTTCTTTCACACCGTACGTAGCCAACCATGCTAATCAGTGGTGCGGGGGAAGGACGCACAAACTAAACAGAACAACGAGCAGTTTAAAACAAAACAAAAAATGGAGTTCCAAAAATAAAAATGAGAATAATGGGAAAGGTCGACACCTCGATGATGTAGTCACGACCGTCCTTGCCGTGCACGGCCTTCACGCCGCAGACATCGAGGCCGCCGAAGAGCTCAGCGCAAGTGTCGATCCACATCCGGTACCTGGAGGGGGGTGGTGGGGGGTGTGCAGATGTGGATCCATGGGACAGTGATTGGGCCGGTCAGCGATGCCAAAGCAGAGCAAGGGCAAATATCCCCTCTCTCTCTGTCACCAGGAGGTGAAATACAGGGTTGTTGAGACACGCACAAACGCTGCCTCTTTTGGCAGGGACCCATTTGGGAACGGTGGATTTTACCATCTTTTGCTGACACTGTTGTGACGAGGGTTGCCACCTCTGAGATACAACAACAACAAAAAACGGGAACATATCATGGGCAGAAGAAGATCTCACAATGTCGGAAGAGGGGAGCACGTGCATTTAAACGTGTTGTCTTGCGCGGTGTATTGTTACGCAACTGACAACAAATCTGGATTCTTAATGCCCTGGGTAGACTCGCTGATTTCCCAAGACATAGGGGAGGATTCGGGAAAAATCAGGACAGGTGGGAACCCGAGATGTGACCATCATCTCGTTTGGGGCTTAATATCTCACTGAATATTCTTGGTTCTTTCGGTAAAGTCACGTAGAAGGGAAATAATAAAATAATAAAAATAAAACATCTATTTTTATTATTTGTATTTTTTATTTATTTTATTATTTCCCTTCTACGTAACTTTACCGAAAGAACCAAGAATATGAATCCCTGCAGTCACGAAAGCTTTACATCGAAATTCTCACTGAATATTTTCCAGGGTACTGGATGACTGGAGTCGTATTCACGTCACTAGTCGTAGCCACCGCAACAGTGAGAGGTATACTGGAGGTGGTGTTCAGGATGCTAATTATTTTTCATTGAGTTGCCGGCCCAGACAAACTTGGCTGAAAATAAGCCATGGAAATCTTCCATTCTCTGGCCTGTAGCCTCCAAAAAAAAATCTCATTCCCACAAATAAATGATCTCCTCTCTTCCAAGTCCTCATCTGTATGCACCCACCCCCTTTATAGCACAGCATCTTGAGATGGGGTGGCTTTAGATTGTTTTGTAAATCCAGGTTGCATTATACAAGCGGCTTATTTTGGAAAACAGGTCGCCGAAGCAATTATTTTGGGTGCTACAAAATTCACATTTATTCCCGCTTGGCAACGCATGACCAAAACTGGTTTCAGTGGCACAAGCAACCGGGGGGAGGGGGGGGGAGATGGCGATGGGGGGTGGGAGAAGAAAAAGGAGATCTGAGGTCTTCAGCTCATACGATAAATCAATTTTAAAATTATCTGTGTCCAAGGGAGAGATTATCATTAATCTAATCTGGGATGGTAATCCATAACCGAAACGAAGCTTACATTCGGAAAGCATTTTTGTTGAGCACTCCTTCAGCCCCCCACCCTCCACCCGATTGTCCTCACCCCCCCCCCACCGGCTACCCCGTCACCCCCACACCCCACACCCCACACCCCAACGTTATTTATCCGTTCGCCTTGTAAATTAGTGATGCCTCCCATGGTCACAGCGCAATAAATACAGGAACAGCTGCCACCGTTTTAAGCATCAAATTCTCATCTGGTGTTTATCTTTTTTTTTAACGAAAGTATCAATTGTGTACAGTATACACATATACAACAATATCACTCAAAGCTCATTTTCATGCGATTAAAGAATACGCTCCGTGGAGGTCGCCGTGTGATTTAGAGGTCATGGAGCTGTGCTGGTACCACTGAGATCCTGGGTTCAAATCCAGGCAGCTCTCGGGGACTGAACCAATTTCTCAAGAGCCGTGAGTTGATGGTCTCGGCCTGGGCACCTGATGATTGTCAAATAAATGTCGCATTAAATTTTGTTTCCGCACTTGACTTTTGTCTGTGTCGTTGGAGGGTAGGAAAGTGTGCCCTCTAGAGTTTGGGGGTGGGGGGTGAAAGGTCACTTGAAGAGGTCTCAGAAGTAGTTCTGTGATATCTGCTTCCGTGGGCTTCTTCTCCAACACAGAGGGGTTCCCTGCTCTGTGAGAGTTTCTAATGTTGTTTTTTATTTGGGCTCATAATATTACGCCGCTAGCACGAGTGGGATAAGAAAAAAGCTAATTTAGAGCCTGTACAATAGTCGGAAATTTCCTCTCCTGACTTCATTAAAACAAGCGTTAATCTTTAAGCGACCGATCCTTAGAATGTGACCTCGTGTGGCCGAGCGGGTGGAGAATATTTTTTTAATGAGAAGGTCCCCCCCCCCCCCTTTTCATCGACACTTTGTGACCACTCACCTGTCTGTCATTGCAATTTGTTCCAGCATGGCAGAGCCCGTGTTCGCCTTCCAGTTTCCTGATATGGAGGTTCTCCTGGGGGACAGAGAGACGATTACATTGATGACGATTGATGACGGTGAGCGATAGGCTGTTGCCAATCAATGTTGGCCTAACCCTGATCCAACGGTTCCAACAACATTCTCAACGGTGACATTGCAATGGGCATGCGGGGCCCACGGGCCTCAGGTTCCCCACCCCTCGTGTGTACGGATACGCGAGCCCTTTGGATTGCCCTCACATGTAGGCCTTGTAGTTGGCACCGATCTTCTGGATGCGGATGTCGTATTTGGAGTCGACGTACGGCTCCACGGTGGCGTACGTCTTGGTAAGCGCCACGACGCTCGCCACGTCCTGGAAGTCGTAGTGGTTGTCCACCTTTACCTGGAGCGCGTGCCGAGCGACCGGAGGAGGGGGGAGGAGGACGAGAAATGTGAGAAGGAGGAGCTGTAATGTGATACCAGTTGACTCGTAAGCCACGCTGTGGCCAACGGTCAGACCGGCGGGCATTGCGTGAGTGGCACAAACCCCGAGGTGCCAAATAATTAATTGGGGCCCTCAATCCCCAATGCGCCACAGGCCAACGCAGAAATCGGTGGAGTGTAAAAGTAATCCTCCAGTTATAACCAATTCTGCGTTCGTCTGTAAAACGCTGAGATAAAATGACGTTTGCCACCCCTCGGATTTGCATCACGAGTGGCTGCTTTGAATGCCCACCTGAAGGGCAGGACTTGTCTTAATGGTTGTTATGCATGCAGAGGAGAAGTGCTGCTTAGTCTCACCCCTCAAACCACTCGCTTACATAACACGTCGCTTCATTGTCACTCTCAAAGCAACTTCCCCGCAAGTGGATCTGTAACTCTGCAGCATGCGACAGGCACTTGGAGCCGGTTGCGATTTGGGTTTTTCCAGATTTTTCAACATTTTAATTTTATTCACTGCGTTAATTCTGTCAGTTTAGCAAGATTTCTACCCTGCTCCTCCGATTTTTGCTGAAGAGTGCTCTGGATTTTCAAGATTTCTGGATTTTGGATTTCCGGATTTTAAGATTTCTGGATTTTCAAGATTTTACAAGATTTCTCCACCCTCCGATTTTTGGTTAAGAGAGCTCTGGATTTTTTCTGATATCTCTCCATATTTCTATAGATTTTGTACAATCTTTCTCTAAACATCTCTGGATTTTTCCGATTTTACTATTGTTCAACTCAGACATAAATGACGATGATTTATAAAACGTGTGCATTCTCACATATTTAAGCTATTGCGACACGAAACACAGTAGTCCTGAAATATAATGAACGTTGAAATGAATTCTCAGCCTCTGTTTTTAGCTCAAATCCTTTCTCAGGTCATGACAATTTAAGTAGCTGTCATATTCCCTGATTTTACGATTTGAAGGTAATTGAGGAATCAGTTATTATTATTATTTCATGATTAAATCTGGGGCACCTCTTTCAATGACTTAAACTGACCAGGTGTAAAATCTAACACTCTCCAGCAGTGTGCGCCTGCGGTCATCCAGAACAGAGGCCGTACAACGTATAACGACGACGCAATGCCCGATCCACAAACACGGAGGAGACATCAACGGCGATGCACTCCGCTGCCCCTGACGCGGTCATCTTGCTCGACCACCTGAATGTGAAGTTGTAGTTGTTACTCTGCACCAGCCATTCGGAAGAAGACCAGCGTGGTGAAGTATGGTAAAAAATAAAACCCCCATGACCGGACACGAGGCAGGGAGGCCTCAGTGGAGCAGTGGTTTGGCAAAGGGGCTGAATATTAGGCGAGCTTAAGTGCCCACGTTAAATTTCAATTATCAGACCCTTGTAAAACTGTGACGAGCCTTACTGCATCATGCTGCATCAAGTCATGCCCCCCCCCACTTTCCCGTGTCATCACCACTCCTAGCTCATCACGTCTAACCTCGATGCGTCACAAGCAGATGCAAGGAAGAAGGCCACGACCCCTACACAATGTCCCAATCAGCCTTGAGTTTTCTAAACCACGCCGAGTACGCGGTCGACGCCTTCCTTACTTACCGTGTCACATCCTTAACCCGCAACTCAGCTGTGATTTCAAAACCAAAGCAGAGGTGGCGTGCGTCACACTGCAGTGGCACCACGGCGAGTTGGCAAGACAAACCGTGCTGCCTCGCAACCTTTACGAACACATCGCCACGAGTGTGTTGTCACCCGTGTTACCGTGTTGCGGTTGGATGTGTGAGTCTGTGTGTGACAACGATATGAATGCCACGACACCTTTTGGGACTTTATGGGGCAATCGGCATTTCCCCAAAAATTGTCATGGGCAGTGCTTTTGACTGTGAGCAGCGATGGCAAACTGAGAAGGCGATGGCATACAGTGACGGAGTTCTATCTAGCCAATGGAAACAGAGATTGGTGGAAAGTGTTTGATGAGCAATGTTTGCTGTAATGAGCCACACAACCTTAGACCGATTTGATTGGTTGTTTCCATCCCAGTTGTCCACACGGAGGAGCAGTAATAGGATTTATCGAGCTGGGCAACTGATTTTTTTCTCTCTCTCTCAATATTCCTGAACATTGTGGTTCCTTGGGATAATCATTCCTAGCAACATTAACCGTACCATTTTTCATTGTAAAATAGTGTATAGAAAAATGATCATCTAGATCATTTGTTCCTCGGCGTAAAATTGTCATGTTCAATATCCTAGAAAAAAAAGTTTACCCACTTAAACTTTTCCTGACAAAGTAACCTTTTTTGTGCGCGTAAGTCTAAAATAAAATAGAATAATAATAATTACGTAGATGGGAACAAATCTTCCCTGGTGGGAGCAAACATTGGCTAGAGAAAAAATATATATTTGGGGGCAACCAAAATTTGTTTGGACCGCCGTAGAGTTAAACTATTTTTATTATTTCACCACGTAAAGCCGACTGAGCTATATAGTTCTTTTTCAGAAGCGACCTGGCCATAAATGATAGCTCAACAAAGTGGCTTATCATGTGGAAATGAATAGCAGCCAAATACTCTAAACGCATGATGTTGATTCAAAATGTGGAGGGAAAAACCAGAGGACCCGGAGAAAAATCCACGCGACCACGGGGAGAGAAACACGCAAACTACAACTATACAGCAGGCGTCAAGGATCGGGATTGAACCCACGACCTCCTGTAGACCAGGCGTGGCAGTTAACATCTCCTAGCCACCGTGGGGCCTAAAGGTGTCGTAGGCGTCCTGGTGTTGGAGAGCGTGCCGCAACCCCGTGGTCACACCCACCTTGCCCACGCCGGCGTGCGCGTGTCCGATCTTCACCACAACCGGGAATGTCGGCGTCGTCAGCTGAGTGAGAAAACAGCCGCAAGCAAAACATCACGTGGAGCGACCGTTAGTGTCACAGGCGGAGCAAAAGTGCAGCGATCGAAAAGGCCCGGCGTCCTCGTCAGTGCTTAGAGCAGGCGTCCTGAACTGTGGGAAACTTCGAGGGCTTTCTTGCCCGCGTTTCGCTATCGTAGTGTCGATATAAAAATTCACTCGACCGCTTGTTGTCAATTCGACGCGCAACATTGTCCTCGGCCGCCCCATGATCTGAGTGCGCTGTTCCCCGGGTCGGGTTGCGTGCCGAGCGAGCATTTGCTTCACTCAAGCTTTCCCCCGCGAGTTCAGCTACAAGCTTAATAATAAATGAATGAACCACATTGAATGCACGTGTCACACGAATGTATGTGTCGCAGGTATGCATTGGTCACAAAAATAAGCCTAAAATGTATATTCATACTTGATTTGAAGCTTTTGTGACTGCAGGAATTACTCTTTGGATCTCTCGGTAAAGTCACGTAGAAATAAAATAAAATAAATAATGTATATTCATCATGGGACCTCCTTTGCCAGTACCAAAATATGAGAATAGGTTTTTTTCTGACAACAACACATGTGGAGATGTTTAAACACCAAACTGAAACCTTTTACAAGGAATCATGTCTGCATTAACCACAATGCTTGTAGTCTAACACCGTTTTTAGACTAGGCTAAAAAAAAAGTTGTCTTTGGCAGGGAGGGGGGGGGGGGCTTGTGAATGCCTTCACCATTGCAAGGATGTTGATAATTATAAGATTATCCTCTATTTCACTCCCCAGTGCGGTCCATTGGCATCTTGAGCCTGGACATAAATAAAAAAGTTTGAAGACACGAACTTTAATCGGTTTGGGACAAATAAAATACCTACCTATCCTCTTGGTTGTGAGTGCTAAGCCCTCATATATATTGAGAAAATACATCATAGGCCGGACATAAAGTCAATAATGCCCACATAAATTGGATGCTGAACAGTTAATTAAATTCAACTGCCTACAAACGGCTGCTTTGTGCTTCGACGCAATCGATGACAGCGGATTGCCTCGCAGTGATGTCCGAAAGTAAATTTCATTGCCGTCTTGTTTGACAGGCCCCTGAACCACGTCTGGTTTTTTATCTCGTTGTTGTCGCGCTGTGCTTTTTTAAAAATCCTTTATATTAAGTTCACTTGCGCGCTTGCTTGCTTGCTTACGACCGTGCAAATCTTTCGGTCGTTTTTTAACCCACTTCCCGTGATCCAATCGAGCTGACATTTTCCACACAGACTCGTTGTGCGTGACAATTAATGTTCCTAAATTTTTTTTCCTAAATTTGACACTTTTTAGGACCAAAATATTATATTTAATTACCAATTGCTTAATGCTGCCATGCAATCATCTGACCCATAGGTGGCAGCCATCTCAAGCCAGAGGACGAGAGGACTCTAGCCGCCACGCATATAAAGGATTTATAGTGAAAAACTTTGTTTTTACGGGTTATACTTGTTCCCCTCTCCCGAACGATTACACAATCTGCGCCACGTCACGAGACGTAGATCCATTCAGAACTCCCTCGCAGCAGTGCGCACATCCGTGCTGGAGAATGTCCCGAGGAAGTGGATATCACAGAACCACCTCTGGGACCCCGTTTTACGCAGTACGGGGGCCGTGGCTAACTTTCCCGACATGCTCGGGGCGTTTCCGTCGCAGTGGTTCGACCATGGCTGCTCACGATGAGACAGGGTCCAGAACATCATCGCCGGGACTAGCCGGACGTGCGCCACCGTCACTCTGATCACACGGAAGCTGTCACTTCGGATCGAATTCACGCGGGGGGGGGGGGGGGGGGACGTCGCATCGTGGAAAATTCCTGCGGGTGCGCAACGCCGAGCGTCCAGGACCTTGACCCCACGACCCCGGCTTTGTCCCTTACCCCCTTTGCTCAATCGCTTTAAGCACCGCTGACGCAAAAGGGGGTCCCTCCCTCCACCCCCACCCTCCATCCCCCCTCCACCCACCGCTTTCATAACTTTCGAAAACTTGAAGTGCGCCGTGCCGCCGCCACCACCCCTCCCCTCCCACCCTTCCGGGCTGTTTGTTTTTTTGTGGTTTGCATCGTCACCGTCGCTCCGAGGGGTTAATTCCCGCGGCACGCGAACACAAAACAACATTTTGCTGGGGAGGACAAAAAATAAAAACCGCTGGCTGGGCATGGCCGCGTACGGAGGAAACGTGAACCCGTCACGAGCAAGCACGCACGCGCTGCACGGGCGAGTGTGCGTGTGCGGCCCGCCCCAAAACAAACAAACAAAAAAACGACCGCAACAACAACAACAACTTTTATTCGGCTGTTCGCAATCTGGTTAGAAAACAAGTCCGTAAAGGTGAAGTAGCTAGAGGTGTCTGAGCGTGTGAGAATTCGACGGAGTGGTCAAGGAGAGCCTCATTTGCAAGAGTGCCCTCGGTGGGGGTCACCAACATCATAAAAGCAGAATAAATAAATAAATAAAACTGGAAATCGGGGAAAAAAAGAACCGCATGGCAGGAGATGAAAAAAAACTGCACAAACATTAATGGATGTTAAATAAAATAAATGTTCCGTAACGAAAGTTGGTGAGGGCAGTGAGATCTGCAACTTCTTGCTCACATCACTGCTGGCAGAAGGGCTTCTAGGGGGCCTCTAGGGGGCCTCGAGGGAGCCTCGAGGGAGCCCCTCCAGAGGGTTTATTTGGCCGACTCTTCCACACTGGCCTCGTGTCTTGGAAGAGGGGCGAGGAGTCCCCACCCTTTGCCCCATCGCATACAACCTGCCGGTCGACTCACTGCCGTGTCTCTATTTATACTTCAGCGTGGATAAGAGGCGGGAGGAGAAACCTGCTCATTCATGATCTGACATTTCATTAATTCCATTTCTTTCCCTCTTTTGTTTACGGAGACAGCGTTAAGCCCGGCTTTGTCAGAAAATGAAACAAGCTTGCTTCACTGCGTTGCCAGCGAGTGCTGACGTGATACGAATGCCAACAGAAGGGCTTTCCACTTGAACATTGATGAGATGCGGTGGCGAGATGTTAACTCCCTCGCCTGGAATGGGATCTACCCTTCTGTGGGCAGTTCTCTGAGGTGGAGAGTTTGCACTGCTCCGAATGAGCGAAAGAGTTCTTAAATGGACACTTTGTCTCATGACATATTGGCGGCAGAACAATGTTAATAAAATCGTGAAAAACCATAGAAAATAAATTACACGCCTAATGCATTATTCTTGTTTTCTGATCACTCTTAATTAGTGGCTCCTCAATGTTACGGGCGGATCAACTCTTTGAAGGCAGAGTTTGCAAGTGGATTAAAGATGCTCCAAGCTGCGGTTTGACGTCAACACCTGGTAAACATCCAAAGTCGGGCCAACGTTGGAATGCGGTTGAAACCGTTGACTCAACGTCGGCCCGACGTTCGACGTTGACCGGGCAGCACCGACTTCCTGTGTGTACAACTGGTGATGAGAATTCAATGAGCTCGCAAATCGTACTATATCTATATTTTGTTATTGTAAGTGTCTCCGTGAACTTGCCAAAAAACTCGCTTGCGAAAGGCCCGTGTGCAGGAGTTACCACATCCTGTTGGTGCCGCCCTCGCACGCTCGTCACGAAATGCCTTAACAACGCGTTCACTTATTGATTAATAACTGCGAGAACAAAACGAACTTAGGTCCTTATTTCACTTTGTTTGACCGCGGGGTTCAACCACCGAGCCGCCCACGCAGAATCATTCCGAGAATTTGCGTACGCAATCCTTCTCGGGTCAAAGGTCACGCGGCGATCGCCACCCTCCCGATTGACGTGATGATTGACGTGATGATTGATGTTACTGATGTGGCTGCGCAGGCGTTTACGAAGTGGAGAGAATGAGCTCCACGGAGGTCAGGTGATGAGGTCCGTTCATGTGCAGGAGTGAGTGGGGCGGAAGCAATCCTGGGTCATGAAGGATGGCGATGAGGTTGAGAGGCCTTCATCCAGCAGTGGATTGGCAATGTGTGATGATGACAGAAAGGTTAAAGTGCAGCCCTACAATTTTTTGGTAAATGTACTGCTGGTGGACGGGACTCCACGAGAGGGAGCTCTAGGTAGCCCTTCTCGAGGGTATTTGGCCTCCTTATCCATGTGAGTCAGACATTTGCGAAGAGTTGAGAGTACCCACACTTTATCCAACCACGCATGACCTGCCGATGGATTAACTGTGGCCTACCCATTTCTACTGTGGCGCACCAATTTCAGTTTTTACTGGACATCTGTGAAAGAGAGCTTCAGAGATCATCAGATTCCTCGAATCTCAAAGAAGATGCTGATATGGATTCTACCGCTCGGTGGACAGAGGCAGGGGGATCGAAGGAACTCGCTCCATTCTTTCAACTGCCACGGCGGGAGGTCGAACCGGTGACCTGTGGATCGCACGTGCAGTGTGCTGACCGCAACACCACGGCAGCATACCCCAGCGACGTAGATGTGGCTGCATGTTTTTTTGGAGGAAAAAAAAATTCTCTCGATACGCGCAATAACCTCAGAATAATCATTTGAATTATACGGCACTTAAATGCCTCTGCAACTCAAAACCACTTTACATCATGTCTCATCTGAACCATTAGAAGGGGACCCCCCCACCCCACCCAGTGGCGGCTGTCCCTGTGCAGCACGCGTTGAACGCAGCGCCGGCCTGCAAGTGGACATTGATCTGCGGGTAGGGGACAATGATTGCCGACACGTGTAATTCCCAATTGGGCAATTTTCCGGTGTAATTTTTCGAAATTTGGCAAAATGTGGACCACAACACTGGCGAGCCATAACCCACTCTTTCTCGAATGGCGTCGTGGGATATTTAATGGCAACTGTGAAGCATTATTAGTATTACTACTGTTAACGCACCCGCAGTATTAACCGGGGTGGCCTGCCGGAGTCGAACCACGAGCCTCTGCGGCAAACGCACATCCCGCCGGGGCCGGGCCACCATCCCGGCAAAATAAGCTCACCGCTGCACGTACGGCGCACGGAAATGCAATGTAAGAGCTACGCGAAATTAATCAAATGCAAGTGTTGATCGAACGAACCTGTGAACCTTGACCCTGGTATTTTCACTGCTAAGGCATAACGATGCATTATGGCACGTACCGAAATGAGCAAGGGACCTATAAATAATCTGTAGGTGGGGCGAGGTCAGCTCTGATAATTACAGCCGATTATATGAGTAAACTACCATTTTTACATCGTAAGGCCCTCTGAGCTTTATAGCTCTTTTTTCAGAATTGACCAGGCCACATTGGCTTGTTATGTAGACAATTATAGAGACTAAATACTTTAAACGCATGTTTCTAAATGTGGTGGGAAAAACCGGAGGACCCAGAGAAAAATCCACATGAACACAGGGAGAACTTGCAAATCCACAATATACAGGCGTCAGAGTCGGAATTGAACCAACGACCATCCTGCATACCAGGCCAGGTCGTTAACATCTCTCAACCGTAGCATAAGCACGAGCCTATGAAGAAATCAGCCACAATGCTCCCAATCTCGTCAATATCTCGGAGGCTAAGTAGGTTTGAGCCTGGCGAGGACTTGGATGGGTGATCAATGACCACCACGGGCGAGACACAGGTGTAGTAGGCATTGCAGAAAGTAGAGGGCAGTGCACCACAATCCCATTGTTGTTCTGCACTTCCATGCCCCCCCCCACCTCCCTGCACCTTCACCAGTTCGTACTAACCAGCGTGATGAAGTATGGTCAAATATCCCTCAGGGCCCACAAGGCGTAGCAGGGAAGCTCTCCTCCAGCAGTTCATTGACAAAATAAAAATGGCTGCACAGGTAGACGTTAGCGAGCTGAAAGTAAAGAAGGGATGAAGACCGGTGGTCAGGACTAATGACTGATCGGCAGCTACAGGAGGGAACCGGCATGAGAGGGCATCCACTGTGGCAATGGAGCGATAAAATGAGCTTGTGTGCAGGGAGCTCGGTAGATTGTCACGTCACGAGACTGTGAGATGATGGCAGCTTAGCGAGGCCTTGGGGAGGCCTTCGCTCAATGGCCGATGGGGATCAGACGCTGGGGGGGGATGGCGATGACATGGGGGAGGACTTCATTCAGCAGTGGGTAGATCAGGGCTGATGAAGGTGCTAATGTCAAGAGTTAAAACATTGGTGAACACACAAAAAGAGAGAATGGTGGCAAACGCTCGCAATCATTTGAAGTCCAGCACATCATGAGCATGAGACACGAACCATGCATGCATGAGCGCTGTGGTTAGTGTTTTAGCCATTAACCTATCTGTACGGTGCTTTAGTGTTGACTCCTACTGTGTCTGAGTTTTGCCAGATACACTTGGATTTCCACCCCCACGTAAAAAAGACCGATTTTGACATCACTCGCCGCTGATGCTAGCCGTAGCCAGAAATGAAGCTCATAGTTTTGCCGGGTGTCATAGCGCAGTGCACCAACAACTGCGCCAAAGCTCCCCAAGTGACAGAATATCTTCAGACTCATCGTGACATCGTTGCCATGCGAATAAAGTACCTTGGTTTTGACTTGGCGAATGGTGTACTGCCATTGCGTTCATTGTAAATTGAAATTAAGCAATACAGGGCTGGTTTAGACGTTTCAATTCTTGTTCACAGTTACCAAAACTGCTTCCATTTCGCAAGACACCCACGCGCGATCATTGGCAGGCAACATCGCGTTGGGTCTGAAGAAAAGCACCCATGTAAACTTAATAAATTAACTAATAAGGCAATTACGTGCAGGAAACTGGTAAATAATATTCCCACGCGACGAGCATACTTATACAGAGAGGTCACGAATATAATTTCTGGGAAATAACGGTGTTGGGACGACCGAGTGCTGCATCACTCGCTTATCGCATTCCGTCACGACTCACTGCCACTTCCTCGTTCGGTGGCTCAGGACACTCATGAAGGGCGTGGCGCAACGAAAAAACCCCAAACAACAACAACATTCCCCTCCGATATAAATGCCAGCGAGGCAGCCTTCAAACAGCCACTGGCAGCAGCGTCGCTCTCGTGTGACAATCGGAGAGAGCCTTCAGGAGACCGACGACGTTCCAGCTGACGAGACACGACAATGCTGCCTTCGCGAAATTCCGTCGTGTTGCCCTTGGCTGTCGCGACAGTGGCGCTGTCTGGGTGGCTGTGCGCGCTGTCGCAGGCTTGCTCCTGCGCCGGGGATCCACACCCACAGCAAGCCTTCTGCGGCTCAGATGTTGGTAAGAGTCTTCACTTTGTAAAAAAAAAAATTTGGTCGAAAAAATCCATTGTCCGCCAATGGTGAGTTTATTATTAGTATTACTACTCTTCTTGACGTGTCGGTTTTTTTGTGGTGGCTTCTAGATTTGAAGCTTTCGTGACTGCAAGGATTCATATTCTTAGGTTTTTTCGGTAAAGTCACGTAGGTAAAAATTAAAAATTCGTCGTGATTTTTATTTTACTTTTATTCAATTTAATTCTTACCTACGTGACTTTTGTGGTCGCTCTCCGGCCCACGTTTTGGTAGTACCGAGTCGTTAGGATTGATTGGCCCGATGTTTCTCTCCACGCGCTGGGAGCTTCTTCAGTAACGGAACAACGGAGCAGCCTCGCGTTCACCTTCAACCACACAAGAGCACGAGCTGCACCGTCGTTCTGTTACTGAACAAGCTCCCACCCCCCTGCAGAAGGGCGCGCGCGGTACGGCACCGAAAACGCATCGGAGAGGTTCCTCCCGTCCCTGGCGATGGTTTTGCACCAATTTTGGGAATGTCGTAGAGTAACGAGGCGCTGCCACTCGTGACAAGAGACCAATTACTGCGAGCGGGCCCCGTACAGCCTGCTGATTGCGTTGGCTGATTGCTCTCCTCCGTGCGGCAGATTTTTTAGAATTTCCCGGGGCGACTCCTTGACTCGCCGCTAACACGAAATATCTCGCGACTTCTAAATCACTCTCCCATTCTGCTGTGCGTGGCGTAGTAAAAATAAATAAATATTAAAATGAAATAGAAATAGTCTCATAAAAGTGATTCACTCACGCGCTGAATTGTTGTGAATTTCTTTGCAGCCATGAAGGTGCAACTGCTTGAAAGGACGACGGAAATGATGGCAGTCAGCCACGGCGACAATGAGAGCTCCATGGCGCAGCTGACCCGGTACAAAGTGAACGTTATCAAGGTACGTTGGCTGCGCGCGGCGATCGCCGACATATATATACACAAACACGACTCGAGATTCGCGACGTGGGAGCGATGAGGTCGCGTCGTTTCGTCAGAGGGCCCGCTTGTCGCAAGCGATCACAATACTTGAGCCGCGCGGCGCACGGGCGCCAATTCGAATTTCCCCGACCGCGGTTGCAACATTCGCGCGACAGACAACGCGGGGAAACGCAAAAAAAGGTGCGGCGAATCGGGTAAACAACCGGCGGAGCCGGTGACATCAGGAGCTTCACGCTCACGTGTCATTTAATTTTTTTCTTGCTTTGCCGCAGACGTTCAAAGGCCAAGAGGAGCTGATGCGAACGGGCTACATCTACTCGCCCGCCGGAGAGCCAAGCTGTGCTCTCGACATCCAGCCGCACAAACGCCACTACATTTTGACAGGTGAGGCTAGTAGGAATACCCGTCCCCCCTCCCCCCCGGGTTGACAGCGCGAGACTTTACGCGCCGTTAGTATGGCCAGAGCAGTGAGCAAAACCCGTGAAATGCGCCCACGGTCTCAGCACGGCAGATCTCGGAAGCCCGAGGCAAAAGCTCGAGCTGGAAAGCGCTTGTTTGGGATGAGTGACCACCGTGCATGCCACGGTTTCCGTAGGTGGCCTGCGCTATGCGGTCGGCAGCATCGAGCAGTGCAGCAAAATGCATTGCTGCACTGGGCCTCTAGATCTTGAGACTCGAGGAGACCAGGTCTCAGGATCTTGAGATTTTAGCTTCAAGAGATTGGGTTTCAGGATCTTGAGTCTTCAGGAGGCCAGGTTTCAGTTTCTTAAGACTGTGCTGAGATGTGTCACGAAAAGAGCTGTACGTGTACAAGTAAAGTCGATGATGTATTCAGACACACCGTTAACTGCTTGGCTATTCATCATTGGCTCCCGTTCCCCACCATCGCTGCTGGCAGGACGTATCTGGTCCGGGATGATCTACGTGACCCTGTGCAACTTCATCCGCCCCTGGAACACGCTCTCCAACGGCCAAAAATCCGGCTTCTCCGACATCTACAGCTCCGGCTGCACGTGCCAGGTGAGGCGTCCTCTACGAGCTAATGGCAGGTGTCGACAGGCTTATTTATATATAGTCCACTGCTGCCTACGACAAATTATCTGGTGATGCCGCACCTCCGATTAGCACGGTTGGCTACGTACGGTGCGAAAGCAGTTCAACGTACACACATCCATAATCTCCTATGAGCTCACCCATCATCCACCCTCATTGGCCTTTTGGGCCACACGCCCCTTGTGCTTTCCAGCGTTCACCTCTCCATCCCCCCATTCATCGTGGTACGTTGCCATGCCAACTCTCGCCAGTAGCCATCTAGGCCTGCCAACTTCTATGTCTGCCCCTCCTATCTGCTGTCTCCCCTGCTGTCCTCAACTACTCCTGCTGCCCTTGGGCTGGTTGTGTGGAAAGCCCATCATGCAGACAAAAGGCCAGCGGATGGCAGATGACCAAGCCGAGACCAAATGTACAGACTTTGGTAATATGCACGGTCCCTGGTGCATGTTGAACTTCCTTCGCACCGTATATGAGACTTAAGATGTTACAGTAAAAGCTACAATCATCATCATGATCGTCATCAGCCCTGATCTATCCGCTGCACGGTGGATGGCCTTCACCAAGCCACTGCCATCTCTCAACAATCCATCAAGCTCCTACACGTCAGCTGATTTCATGGTTCCGTCTTTGCGGCGGGCATCCTCTCGTTCACGTGTTCCTCCTTTGGCCGCCACTCCATCGTTAGCCTCGACCATCGTCCCTTCCAGCGACGCGTCCTGCCCGACCGTGCTAATCGAAGGTGCGTTTCACCAACACGCCTCTCTCTTCCGCCATGCGACCAGATTTCCACATGCAACCAAAAGCCGTGCGAGCCCACGGAGGCGCGCGAGTGCACCTGGACCGACTCGTCCACCTACCAGGGTGCCCGGCGCTGGGGGCCTCAGGCCAAGTCCCAGGCCTGCCTGCCAGCGCTGGAGGGTGACGGCTGCCTGTGGAGCAAGATCAACGGCAGCGGCTCCGCCGAGCCACTCAGCAAGCCCGTGCCACAGCAGCGGCTGCAGTAGTAATGCGGTGGTGGGGGGTGGGGGGTGGGGGCTTGCACGGTGACCGCGCATCTCACCTCGTGTGGTCACCTGCTGCTAAACGCTTGCGACGGTTCCGAGGAGAGCGAGTGAGGAGAGCGGGTGGGGGGGGGGGGTCTCTGGGTGCCGCCGTTGCCGCGATCACATGACTGCGGGAAGCTGCGCCGCCCATCGGAATCGCCATCGCCAGCTGCTGCCATAGTCTCTCGCGGGCGATCGCTATGTTTCCTTTCCGTTCTGTGCCGTCACGGATCAGAGGCAGCGGACTCGCAGCGCGAGCCGACAGCATCTACTGTTCCCAGGCAGGTAGTCTCCCATCAAAGTACTAACCAGACTCAACTGTGCTTGGCTTCCGAGATTTGGCCACTTCGAGTGCATGCTGGGCGATTTCATTTCAAGTCGAGAGATTTAAGGTTTTCACCAATTGTGTCTCGATCGTGCTGTCGCCGTCATGTCTTCAGATAAAGAATCCACTCGGGGTGTCTCGCAAAGCAGTGCATTGCCCCACTGCTCGAGAGTGGCCCGTGGCAGTTGATGTCACAGAGCTACAACTGAGATCTCTTCAAATGGTCCTCTCACTAAAGGAACGGCACAGCCAGCTGAGCAACTCCACTGCCGGTGCCACTCGCCGGGCACTGACCCCACGACCTATCTCGGGTTGGCACCTGTCCTGGTTTTTCCAGGATCATCCTCTTGTCAAAAACGTAACAACAATGTTGAGGCAGCTATCTTGGGAAATCTATAAGTGTTTCCGGGAGATGTATTTCTTTTATATCAGTTGGGTGTTAACACATCACTCAAAACGATGCATGCAAATGCAGCTCTCCCCGCTTCTGCTGTTGTGAAATATTCTTCTTTCCATTATATGGTCCGGTGTTTTGTACATCAGAGGTGGCAAGCGTAGCCGCGGCGATTACTCTGACGGGACGGGATTGGACGCACAGGGCACACGAGCGCACATTGTGCACGTACACGCTACTCTGTCCTGGCTGTTTGGACTTGTGTGGGCGAGCGTTCAAGTAATGCGTCACCCTTCGCTAAATATGTCCTCCCTAGGGCGGCAGGCAAAGATGGCCATTTATTTTGCAACGGCGGGTTACAGCACAGCTTTTGTAAGAAAGAAAAACCGAACCTAACCTAATTCAAGCCTGCTGCCCTGCATTGATGTTTTCATCGCAGAACCCAAATAATTGTGGGTAAGACACAGAGGGCAAACAAGAAGTATTGGTTCCTCACCTGGGGTCAACAGTAATCATCGCCTCGGTAGCAGCCAGTGTTGCTATCGAGAATCAGCCAGCGCGCGTGATCCCCGGGATTTAAAGTGGAAAGAAAAAAAAACGATTTCTCTGAGCTTTTCGCATAAATGTCACGCTTTCATAAAAATAGGCATTTTTTTTTCTGGGGAGAGACAGCTTGCCAGTCGAGAGTATAAATATCCCCCCCCCTCCACTCTGCCACGCGGCGAGGTGTTACGTGGAACGCCCAAGTCGCCAGCTATGATTGTGTGCGAGTGTTTCGCCCCCGGTGACGGACATAATCCAACAATCGGCAAAGAATAGTTAAGACGTCCGTCTATTTCACTGCAATTTTTGTCACACCTGAAAAACTTGGCCGAGATCAATTTTTCGTTCGCGAAATCAGTGGCCAAAAATATATCAATCGACGATGGCCCATAGACTTAAGCACGGCCGACTGTGACGAGACAAACTTACGTACATTATTGTTATTGGAGACAGCAGTGCATTTAGGGGGACCAAATATGGTTATTGGGCTATATATATATGTCAAGATAAAAGTTCACCGATTGGCTGACTTGAAAATATTGGGGGGTTGGGGAAGCATGTACCACGCATACCAATGTTTAATAACTCAGAGTCAGCGATATTTTTAACATATTTGGTCAACGAAACGAAACTATTTTATTTGACCAAATGAAGCCCGCTGAGCTATTAACTCTTTTCAGAAACGACCTGGCCACACTTGAGAGCCCATCCAAGCGGCTTGTATCGTCATCCTGGTTGAGGATTTATAGTAGTAGCTCAATAATCTTCGCGTGTGTCGATTCTAAATATGGTGGGCGGCAAAGCTGGAGGACCCGTAGTACAATCCAAGCGACCACCACGGGGCAGAATGGACACGCAGATTCCAAATACACAACGGCAGGCATCGTCAGGGTCCGGGATCAAACCCGGGACCTCCTGCGTACCAGGCTTGGGAGATGACATCTGGTCACTGCGGTGGCGCCAGACGAACAGAACGACTGAAGACAATACGCAGACTTGAGAATTGGCAGAAATCCCACAAGTTTTTTTGATCGACTAATCTGAGACAAAGATAAAATATAGATGTTAAGAAAATGATGCTTTTAAAACAACGAACGCAGTATGGGAGCTCAGCGTTGGTGCCTCTGACAAGTTGTCTGCCAGCTAGAGACGGCGACGCTGAGGTTGTGCACAGCGAGAGAGAGAGACCTCGTGCACTGAGCTGACGTGGTGCCAAACGAACAGTTTTCAAGGACGGAGGGGGGCGGTAAGGCGACGTGATGGATTCAATCTCTTGTGGACGTCTTTCTGTCTTTTAAAATAACAAATAAAATGTACACGAGCATCTTTCATGGTGTGATGGCTGTTTGGTTTACCGCTGCTCTGCTGCACTCATCTTGTAAGCGTCAATTTAAATTGAACAATCTTGAAGGCAAACACATTGCGACTACACTGCATATAGTAACATAAACTAAACGATCCTTATTTGACTGGATCATCCGGTGCCGCTGCAACGGCAGTGGTGCACAAGCACAATTAACAACAACAGCAACAAAATTAACGGCGACGTTTCAGACGAATACATTTGTCCTATAAAGAAGGGCCTTAAAACGTTGCCAATGATATATTTATATCTATGGGACCATTAATTGCCAGTATCAAAAATGATTAAAAACAAGAATATTTTTTTACCCTTTCTGGCAACAAAACAGATGTTAAGACGTTCAAACGCCAAATAGCTACCTTTTGCAAGGCATCAAGTCTACATTTATTAATATTTACTTTATATTATCTTTATTTATTTTAAACAACGGTGGAAGTTTGTTTAAACCCCCTCCGCCACCTCTGCCAGTCCACCCAGCAGGGCAAGCGGGGCACACCACCATCAGTCGGTTGGCAGGGTTGCGTGTGGTGGGGCAAAATGTGGCTACTGCCACATCTACCGAGACATCTGCCCAGCGCGGGAGAGTAGCCCTTCTCAGAGCTCCCTCGAAGCGGAGATCCTTCTGCCGGCGGCGGCGGTGGGGTGGGGGGTGGTGAGCAAGACATTTCAGGGCCGCACCTTGACCCTGCTGTGCCGATGTCACACTTCTCGGCTAACGTGAGCGAACAAAACAGTTCCATGCAAGGCACACAAATAAAAAAACCACACACGATGGGAAAAGGAAACAATTGTTGACTCGCGTCGTCAATTCGCCGAACCTGATGCGCTCCGAGTCGATGGATTAACCTTTTTGAGAAGGCAGACCCGGGCTAACGTAGTTTAAGCGGAGATGTTTGTCTTATTTCCCCGTGTCCCTCGCTCGAGGCCTTTATACATTCGAATGTGTGCGAGTGTTATCGAGCCAGTGCTATGCCTTCTTGGGCGACGAAGTTTCAAATTGCTCTCAGGGAGCGCGAAAACAAAAACACATCTTCTGACACGCTCTCTCCTTCGAGAGGCCTCACACGCGAGCAGAATGCTGATGCGGACGTCACTGCCACGTTCGACAAACTTCACTCCCATGTCTAATATTTTCTTGTTCATGTTTTTTTTTTGTTTGTTGCGGTTGCACCCGATTCAAGAGCCGAATGGCTCACAGGGCTATACCAAATACATGAAACTTGAAACTTGCCTATTACTTCACCCCATTCGCGTTTTCACTTTTCAAAAGTATGATGTATCTGCACGTCAAAAAAACCCACACATGGATATTACAAAAAAAACTCTCAACAGCCTCCCGCCCCCTACCAGTATTTTAGAGATACGTGAAATAATTCTTACTTGCCGCTGTGCTTTGGATATGACAGTGGGGCGGAGCGGTGGTGCAGCAGTTATCAAGCCGCGCCACGACCCCTGCAATCTGAGTGAGGTTTCCCGGACGCGGCTACCATCGGTGACGAGTGATATCCCAACGGGTAACCCGGGCCCCTGCCTTCGCTAACGCAGACTCGTCAGCGCGGACAAGTGTCAACAAACTTTCACGCCTCCGATTAGCACGGTTGGCTACGTAGGGTGCGAAAGAAGTTCAACAAGCATACGTACAAACAGCCCCCATGGCTGAAATGGCAAGGTGAGGCTTTTATCCAGCAGTGGGTGGACTCTTAAAAGCAGCCCACAGTGGAGGTCGCCAACATCGAACCACGGACCGCACAGTAACGCCACTGCCTGCTTCCGATATTCTCCGGCAGTGTGTGATGGAGCGTTCAGGCGCCTCGCTTGTGGTTTGCCTTGCCCCAGTCCGTTAGGGACCTTCTGTCAGTCCAGGCTTTTAAGGCTCATTTGAAAACACGTTCATTTTATCTTGCATATCCCTCTGTGTAGGGGCTGTTTTCCTCTTAGTTTTAATAGGATTGTGTTGTAAAGCACTGTGGGTCCTTGTTGTCAATTGCGCCATATATACAACTGACTTAAAGCTTTCGTGACTGCAGGAATAAAACATTTTTTGGGGTCTTTCGGTGAAGTCACATAGATAGGTTCAAAAAATCTAAAAATCAACCAATCTATGTGACTTTACCGAAAGACCCCCCCAAAAAAAAATGTGCAAAACTGAGTTTTGCTCACTTACTTCCCCATGAGGCTACTGGCTCCTCACTCATCAACCGCGACACCAGCGAACAAGCGGTGCCGATCAACTCCCCCGCCTGCGAAGTGGCGGACACCACAAGTTCGTAATCTTTGGCCTTCACGGCAGGAGGTGACACTCACCATCTCACGGTGGTTGGGGAAGTACGTCTGCTCGATGAGGGGGAACTTCTCTGCACCGAGGCTCTTCTGGATACGAATCAGCTGGGAGAACTGCAATGAAAACGAGGGAGACAGAAAAAACGACGCGCGCCCTGTAAATGCTTCCCATCACGCGTTGTTATAATAATAATAGTTAAATTTGTAATGCGCGCAAATTTGTAGACGTAGTGGCCGCAACTCAGAGGCGCGGAGCCAAGCTCAGAGTCGCTCGAAAGCATGATTGTAGAGGTGAGTTTTTAAGTCTCTCTTGAAGGAGGCGATTGAGGTGATGCTGCGAATGTGCAGAGGGACATCGTTCCAGACTGTTGGGGCTGCCACCGAGAAGCGGCGCATAGACATGACCATCCTGGATCTTGGTATCAAGAGGAGGTCGTGAGTCGCGCTGTGACGTCTGCAGGATGCAGGGCACGGGTTCCCGCTCGACCGCCGAATCTCGGAACGCAGCGAGCGGCTCAGCGTTCATTTTATTTGGAGAGGTGCAGCGCGATGTAGGGCACGGGATTCGGCATCTGTCGGGAAATCTTTGCGACCAGTGAGAGATCCCTGGGGGGTCTGCGGGCAGCCGGTCACATGCAGGCGTGCGCGGCCAGCTTACCACCCAGGGCTTGCTGCAGAAGTTGTAGACGGAGTGCAGGGAGTTGAGGGTGGGCACGCCACCGTACTGGAGGCCGATGACGATGCTGCGGTAGTCTTGGCTGCCCGCCATGCTGTAGGCCGGCTGACGGACGAGCACAAAGTCTGGCTTCAGCGACCTGGACACGCAAACACGACCACAGACGTGTTCGACCCGAATGCGTTTCAGTTCTCAATTCCCGTGTTTTCGCGTGTACATTTAGTAAGGGTGAAATGTATAATGGTGTGTTATTCATGAGTTTGTATACAATATTGCTTTTTGTATTGAATAGGGGCCCATAGTTTCGATGGGTGAGCTCTTGCCAAAAAAGCATCTGCAGAATTTGTTTAACTAGCCTGCCTGCTGGTGAGACCCAGATGGTTCAAACCGGTCCAAAGTTCGCTCAGGCAAATTTTTCTGGATAGTATTGTTCTGGAAAGCCAATAGGCTGACTCAATAAAAAAAAAACATTTTTTTACATGCCAATGGAGAGACAAAATAGAGATATACATAAATATGATTTTACCCATAATTCCTCACGGCAACGCATCATGAGTTTGTTTGATATAATGCTCAACACCGGTGGTGAACTTTCGTCCACCCTTCCCCGTACACACAGTGTGTGAAAGTTCGTGCAGAATGCACAATGGACGAACGCAGATCCTATTGGTACTCGTTCCTTTTCGCGTTGTTACATTTGTTGAAAGTTTCTTCACGATCTGACTGTGTCATGCCCCCCCCCCCCCTCCTTGAGATTTTGAAAGTCGCCCCTCTTTATACGAGGTCATGCTACAGGGCTGGTCACGTGAGGAGAATCAGGCCATGAAGACGGTAAAAAAATGTACTGTATACGAGGGGTGTGATCGAATAATAATTCCAATTTATAATGCGCATTCCATCCTAGGCTATTTGATAAAAACTGACACCTAAACTCGTGATAAATGTGTCGAATTGTGTGTGTGTTTAAGAATCGAAGGTTATTGAATCGTGAATGTCGTTCGCAATGGGTCCACATGACCAGTCCAGCCACAATATAACCTAAAAAAAATATATATACAATAATGATAATTATAATAATGTTGAATCGACCCTAATTAGTGACCATTAATCTAATATGAGGGGGAGAAATCATTGCAACCCTACAATTCACTCCACTGCAGCAGAGAACAAATGCCGATTAGAGACATCATATTGAAATTAAGAAAATGAAGTGGGCTTGGATAGGATATGTTGCTAGAAAGGGATGATGACCGATGGTCAAAACTAACAACGTGAAGATGGAGTGTTATGGTCAGCTCGTGTGCAGGAGCCAGGTCAGGGGTCGGCAACCAAAATAACAAGAAGATGCATCTTCTTGGTTCTTTCGGTAAAGTCACGTAGAAGGGAAGTAATAAAATAATAAAAATAAAACATAATAAAATAATTCTCACGACGTCTGAATGATAGACGCTGTGTCCCCGACAGACATGGTCTTCACCGGAGGACGGCTGCTTGCGTTGTGGCCGAAACGTCGTGAGAATTATTTTATTATGTTTTATTTTTATTATTTTATTACTTCCCTTCTACGTGACTTTACCGAAAGAACCAAGAAGATGAATCCCTGCAGTCACGAAAGCTTTAAATCGAAACAATAAGATTCATTTTGTTAGAATTCGGCAAAAAACCCCCTCAATATTTCAAGAGCCGCAATGCACCACGTGGTGAACACGAGGCGGCGGTTCTTAATAGATAACATGACAAAGCAAGACAAAGATAAAGATACGCCGTATAGCCTTAACAGACTGAGGACCTTTGTCTCCCTAGTGGCGATGTATACACACACCGCACCAGGTACTTATTTGAGGCTGAGTCGACCTAGGAACGGTTCAGATATAATCGTCACCGGTGTTGGCCGTGAGCGGGAATCGAACTCGGGTCGCCGGGTTCGTAGCGCAGCGCCCTTACCATTAACACTTCTACTACCACTCCCCACGTCACGAAGCAGTCACTTGAAGAGCCGCACGCGGCCTCCGAGCTGCAGGTTGTCGACCCCTGGTCTAGGTGGATTGCTAGATCGCAAGATCTGCAACAATAGCATTGGTTTGGGTGGGGGGGGGGGTCTTCATCCAGCAGTGGATAAATCAAGACTTCCGATGAGTGTGTCTATGCTTAACCTCAGTCGCAAAATGGGACTCTCAAGGGGAGCAATTAAAATTGGTAACCATTAAAAGCAAGGCGCTGGGTAGTGGGGTAGTGCACTCCGAGCCTCTCTTCGCCCGGTCCTCATGACGAGAGCCACCTCATTTGCCAATTAGTCTGCTCAGTCCTCGCAGCTTCGTGACCTGGCAGCCACACCGTGATTGCTCACCCCTAAGGCTGTGGAGCCTGTGTGAATCACTTTCAATCCGAGACAAAGAGAGGCAGCGTGTGGTGGTGGCGGCGGCGGCGGTGGTGGTGTTGGAAATTGAGAAATATTAAAACCCGAGGTGTTCTGGATTGCGGGTCACATGTACTAATCTTTAGACCGCAGTGGCGAGCAGAAGAAGTTGTGCAACAGTGTCATAAAAAGTGAAGTTGAATATGATATGACGGAGAGTTGCAAGAGAACTGTTGTGCAAGTCGTTTGCTGGTAACACGCAAAATTGAAGGCAACTTCCCCATTTACGAAAATACACAAAACCCCCTTAATGTAAACAAAAGGCCCGTTTTAAACATCAAAGATTCTCGACGTGGCCACGATGTGCCAGATGTTTAAAGACAATTTCATTTGTGGGTTAGTTTTTTTTTGGTCAAATGTGTTTCAGAACCAGAAATTTATTTCGCAGGTGAAGCCCATCGAGCGAAACCGCTCGTTGCCAAGGGCAGCTTGGCCAGCAGATAACAGCAGGCAACAGCAGCAGCAGCGGCAGCAGCAGAAAAGATAACCTGATTTACGGAACGTTCATGGCACTGAACTACCCGGCAGCATTTAACAGAAAGGCCTGACTCTGCTGATGAGGCACATGGGCCATTCGTCAATTAGCACGGTTGGCTACGTACGGTGCGAAAGAAGAAGTTCTACATACGCACATGACACTGCCGCCTTACGGCATGCAAAATATATAACGGGCGACGTTCCGGGCAATAGCCCCATCTTCACGACGTGCGAATGGGTTGATAAAAGTGTTGCGCGTGTGGCTGCGAAAGTCTGCCCTCCGCTGCCCGCTCTTACCTCACGACCTTGGTGCCGCTGCGGTAGAGCTGCATGTCGACGGTGCAGCCCCCGTCCACGTAGGCCGCCAGGTTCAACTCGGAGAACTCGGCCTGGTCACCCGGAAGACGGAACACACACAAAGACAAAGAACCTCCACCCCTCCCCTCCGCTCCGTGCAGCCTTAACAAACTGTTGGGGCAAGTGCTGTTAGCGAGCAGCACCCACGAAGGCCGACACGGGCACACGAGGGGGTGGGAGGACAGCACCTTGCCCGGCCACCTTTGTCTCTTGAGTGGCGATGTTGACGCATCGCACATGGTACTCATTTGAGGCCGAGTCGTCCTAGGGGAGGCCCAGGACCGGTTCAGATAATCGTCACTAGTGTTGGCCGTGAGCGGGAATCACATTCGTGTTGTCGGGTTCCTAGCGCAGCGCGTGGCCGGACCGGGGTTCAAACGCACGTGGAGAGATCCTTTTCCTTATCGCGGGATGAACGGGATTTTAAAACACCTCTGGCGGCGGTGAGCCACACAGTCTGCTGTGAGATATATAAAAAAAACTGAAACTTCGCAACTGACGCCTGTGATAGGATGTAAGGCAAGGGGGGTTGAGAACCTTTGGTTTAATGAGGGCCAAATGGGACTTTGCCGAATTTTTTAGCGGCCTGCCCATTATTATGAACACGCACGTCAACCGCGTCCGCCACTGCGAGAGTGCCCAACGGTGGCAGAAGAGACTGAGCGCGATTAAATTAGAAACACAGCGCCGCCGCTGCCAGGTCAAATAATATTACCCCTCCAGTATCCGGTCAGCGGAGCCGAGATGTGACAAGTACATCTCGTTTGTGGGTCATTTCTAAGCGATTGCCATGACATTGCCGATTGGAAATTAAATGTGCAGGCTGCGAATTTCCCAACAACCCCGGGATTAGGCGTTGGGAAAGGGGAAAGAACCAGGGCCGGTTCAAGATATACACCCGCCACTGATGTGAGCCGTGACCCGGATTTTCAACTCAGGGTCGCCTGGTTCCCGTCACGGTTTGCTACAACCACCGCGCCCGCGTTCCATCGCGGCGCTCAAACAGGGCCGGGGGAATTGCGCCGTTCGTTCCCCTTCGCGAACGCCGCGCGCCTCGCATCTTCGCACGGGGCAAAGGAAAAAATGTGTTTGCGTCAATTTCTTCGGGCTCATTTCCACCAGAGGAGTGCCGCTCGCTTTGGTCTCCATCAGCGGTAGGTCCCTTGACCGCACAGCGCCATCGTCTCATCGTCTGGGCACCCCCCTCCATGAGTTTGACGCTCGCAAATAATACCGCAGGGCGACACGCTCGTCCACTTCACGCCGAGCGCGAGTGAGCGATCGCTTGACGCTATTCCCCACCTTCCGGCGGCGTTTGCTGGAGTGGCAGAGTGTTTGCCTCGCCCGAGAGCCGAATGTCAAAGCGGTATCTAGCGCGAGCAGCTGGCGCCACCGCCTTGCGATGGTCTTGCAAGGGCGGGGGACAAAGTTTGGTGCATCCGGGGCGGCAGTGCAGAGCCGCAGGGCTGTTTTAGATGATTTCAGGTTGAGCACGACGTCCATTTTTGGAGGCTTACAATGGCCCCATTTTATATATATATATATTTTTTTGGGAATGTGAGTTTGATGCCCGGTCATGGATCGCATCAGTGGCGAGTGAAGTTCCGTATCGGTCCACTGTCACGTCTCTCAAACCCAACGTCGTGCTCTTGAAGATGTTCCCACTGCTCCATATGACATCGGCATCGTCGATGATTCCTGTGACACCCTCCATTCAACCTTCCTGAACTGACTGGCGTGGTGAAGTATGGTTTGATGTGTGGCGTGCGGGAGGCCTTCATCTTGTGGTGGATTAACAAATGGCTGAACGTAGCGAATTATGATTAGGAGTATTTCGCAGCCATATATTCGCCGAACGGGAATGTTTTGTTTAATAAAGGTGCACAGCTATCTTTGGATACTTTGAAACAAATCAAAATGCACATCAAATACCACGACCTGCCAAAGTCACCCGGGTCAACTGCAAAGCGCGTTTGCCAAGCGGGTGACGGAATAAGCTTTGAATTCATAATCGAGACGTGTACGAGGAATGTAAAGAAAAAAATATATAAACAGCATCCTCATAAGCAGCTGACATTCAGGCAGCGGCAGCAGCACACGGACCACAGAAATTGTTTTATTGTAAAGGGCGTCCGCTAGAGTGGAAGTAGTCTTCCACGCTCTCGCCGGAAGGTGAGGCTAACGCACACGTTACCCCACCCGCACGCGAGCTGCTGTACGGCGAGCTGCGGTGTTCCCGTGTACCCTGCTGGAGCCGCAGTTGTTTTAGCTGCCGCGCCAGGAGATCGAATGTAATCGCCGGCCTCTGGATCGCAAGGCGAGGGCGACGACCTTGACACCAATACTGTGGCAGCGTCTCGCCTCGAATTAAATGGCGTCAGATATATCCTGCACGTGAGTGTCCGAGCAAACCCCAGATTTATGGTTGCAATGTTGAGGTTTTATCAATTTTTTTGCACGCAAAAAAAGGTTTCCATTGATTTGTGTTTCCTCCGCCAGCGTTTTGCAGCAGACAAGAGGCGCCGCTGCTGCTGCTGCCGACAGCGGAACGATGCGCATGCCCGCACGGCTGTAGGGGTACAGTGTGCATGTCATTTGCGGCGGATGCATCGGCGCTAATGGCGGTGCGATGGAGCGTGCACAATAAGATCCGACGCGGGCTTTGGAGGCAAATAAAAACAAAAATAAAGAACTCGTGCACTAGGTCAGTGGAGGCAGGCCGAGCGTAATTGGACGCTTGCTTGTGAAATAACGAAATTGCTTCCACGTTAGGGGTCTGGTGGTTTTTTTTAATGGTGTTTTTTTAAAGTGAAAAAAACCACCACAGTATGAGGTGGCTGGCTGGCCGGGTGGCCTAGAGGTCAGAGCACTGAGCTGGGGCCACTGAGAATCCGGACTATAAATATAATCTGAGTTTTAGCTGAACGGTTTTTCGGCCAGCTCGCGGGTTCTCAGTGAGATGGTGGACACAGCCAGGTCACCATTGACTGCAAAATAAATGTCATCACGTTAAGTTTGGCCAGAGAATTTGATTTCAGCTCTGATATTTAAACATTTCAGTAAGACGAGCCTGTCTATATAGTAGGATGTGCGAGAAAGTGTAGCGGTCCCACAGTGTGTGGAGAAGGGGGTGGTTACTTGCAGAGATCTCGGAAGGAGTTCTGAAGAAGTTACTTCCGTTAGATAATTCTCTGACATGTGGGACGATGCACTTCTCTGCGACAATTAGGAGTTCGCATGCATTCGTCTCACGGCATGATGGTGATAATAGCAAAAACGGCATAAACATTTGGGAGAGAAAAAAAACCCCCCAAAAATTATAACCAAATATCTCCACGGCAGATGAGAACGGAATGCATGTGCAGGAGATAATCCGGCAGCATCTGCCACTCACCTGCTCTACCTTCACGTCGTACTCCCCGAGAACCTTTTTGCCCCGGAAGAACTTGGCCCTGCAGAACAACAAGAACACACCGCTCGTCCATCACTTCACCCAGAGCAATCGCCTTTCCACAGCCCAGGGGGTCAGACTTTATCTTGACCTTTGAATGCTTCGGAACCATCCATTAGCTCCATCTGTCCACGTGCCTGTAACAGGGTGGAGCACGCAAACGTGATCCAGCATGAATCAAACCTTAGAGTAAAGTTGCGTTGCTGTTACGGACTTACTTTGAGAGAAAATTGGTCAAATGTAATAAATTGTTGCCCAAAACCCGGAAAAATCGCACTATAAGAAAATATATCACGAAAAGGTGCCACAAAAAGATGTTGAAGCATCCTCTCAGCCTCTCCTGCCCTTGCGACGAGCTCGCGTGCACGTGACGTGACTTCGTCGCGGTGCTCGCAATGTCATTATCCCTCTTCGTTTAATCTTCGTGTGTTTATGTCACTGTTGAACTAAAATATATCGTCTTCTTGGTTCTTTCGGTAAAGTCACGTAGAATGGAAATAATAAATAATAAAAATAAAACATAATAAAATAATTCTCACGACGTTTCGGCCACAACGCAAGCAGCCGTCCTCAGGTGGAGAGCAGGTCTGTCGAGGAGACAGCGTCTGAAATTTCAGACTCTGTTCGGACTCTGTTCAGACATTCAGACTCTGTCTCCTCGACAGACCTGCTCTCCACCTGAGGACGGCTGCCTGCGTTGTGGCCGAAACGTCGTGAGAATTATTTTATTATGTTTTATTATTATTATTTTATTATTTCCATTCTACGTGACTTTCCCGAAAGAACCAAGAAGATGAATCCCTGCAGTCACGAAAGCTTTAAATCGAAATAAAATATATCGCTTACTTGCACGTCGACCTAACCTTTTCACGTTCGCACCGTTTTTTTTCATTCCTCGTTTATTTCATCTACGACCGTTAGATACCTCGTGTGTCAGCTGTGCAATATTCATTGAGTACGATGTACTCGCTCTCTGCTAATATTCACGTTTTAGTTTTGTCGCTGCTGCCGTAGCTCGTAGCATCACTACGCATCTCTCTTGTACAACAGCCGGGCAGCTGGCAAATCGGAACCATCCGTGTGACGAATACAATAAACTTAATTGAACAAAAGCACGTTGCAAAGCGTTTGCTAGATAATCCTAGCGTACGCACGACTTTTCTTACTCGGTGTTTTCCCCCATCAATCAATCAATCAACCTTCATTCGACGCGCCAATATCGCCCCTTCTATAAAAGCAGGTGTCAGGGCACATCACACCAGCTCACCCAGACCCCGTGGGAGCCTGCCTGCGATGGAACGGCATCGTTTCGCGACAGGCCGAGCACGCGTTTTAATCTCCGTGACGGAGCCAAACGGAAGGTGAATCAAGCGACGGCGATAGAGTTTCTGAACAACTGCTCGTCCCGAGCTACAAGTGCTCTGATACCTGCGTTGTCTTTGTACTGCTTGCCTTCAGGCGTTCTCTGATCTAACACTGGTGAGACTAGGCCATGATGAAAGTTGTCTCTGTTGTGTTTCCACGATAATGCAGACATTGATTGTTATCGGAGCGTGTTTGTTCGCATGTTTTGCCACAAGTACCGTGTGTGGTTAATGCAGTAACGTTATGCCTTGCCAAAAATGTACCCGTTTAGTGTGTGAACATCTCAACACCTCCTGTTTAATTGCCATAAAGGGTGAAAACCTATTCATATTCTTTGGGTCTTTTGTTATTTTCTTTGAACCTATCTCCGTGACTTCACCGAACGACCCAATGAATATAAATTCCTGCAGTGACGAAAACTTTAAGTCAAGATTTTTATAAAACCTATTCTTATTCCTTCATCATTTTGGATACTGCCAAAAAAGTCCCATTAATAATTCAGTTTCTGTTTGCACTCCCTCTCTCTCGCTCGTGCGTTAAGCGACTCGGCGTGCCGTCGCCGCACGCCTGCCACGTGTGCGCACGAGACACGTGACCCGCGTAACGCAGCAGCGAGTTGCGCAACCCGCTCGGCATCCTCAGAGGCTGCGGAAATGGCGCCAGGCGCGCATGAGTCACGGGCAACAGCGGCGGCGGTGGTGGGTCCGTGTAAGTAAATAAATAAACAATGCCTACAATCTGAGCCCCCACCCCTCCTCCCAGGCCACATGGGAGGGTCCTGCTGTCGAACCGGACTGCCCAATCGTCGCTCGCGGTGGGGGAGCACGCGTGGCATGAGATGGGGGGGGGGGCGCCCAGGTCGGAGGGACTGATAACGCAGCGGCACGGAATCAAATGCCCGCAAGCATCGGCATCTGTCCACCCAAATGAGTAAACAGGGTGGGGAAGGCTTCGGCATACGGCCGGCCTGTTCGGAACCCACCCCGGCGTTTTGGCCAATTTTAAACCGCCGTCGACTTCGGCGCCCCGGTGACGAGATGTTAACTACCTCGCCAGGTATACATGGAAGCCGTGGGTTCGATCCCGACCCTGACGCCTCAATATTTTCAGACTGCTTGTTCTCCCCGTGCTCGCATGGATTCTTCTCCGAGTCCTCCGGTGTCTCCCTCCACGTTTAGAAAATGCATTGAGATTATTTTGCCGCTATACATTTCCACGTGATAAGCCACTTCGTTGAGCTGTCATTTGTGGCCAGATCGCTTCTAAAATATATCTATATAGCTCAATGGGCCTTTCCTAGCAAAATACAAAAACATTTGTTTCGTTTTAGTTTAGTTTCAAGGTTTTCGACCAGCTTGCCCATTAAATGATCTCATGGCGGTACCCCGGGGTACCAAATGATACAAACTGGCCGAGGTAATTAAATATTTTATTTCTGGGACACTATTTTTCCCAGGGGTGTACTTAACTCCGCGACTGGGGTACCAATCAATCCGAAATCGGTGCCACTCCGCGATGTCGAAACACAGCGAGGACGATTGCGCCGAAACTCTGAAGGCTCGTACGCACTGTAGCGGTGCATCGTGTACAGCTCGTCGAGATGAGTCGATTGCCGCATCGCCGACCATCAACAGACTAAAATGACTGCATCACGGACATTATGCGAGAGCTGGGGTACTATGGGACCCCGGGGTACCGCCAATAGGTTCATTTTAGGCGGTGGTCAATTTGCGCTGCACCGTTTGCATCATGAAAGAGATGTGAAAATAAGGTACGGCAGTTTTTTGAGTCACCACTGTATGATGTTGCTTTGTTATATATATCTGTGCTGATGAAATACACGCAATTAAAGCCACCGCTAATGATAGACAGCCCCTGCTTTTTCTCAACCTCAGTGTGGTAATTCGAAACATGCACTGTGCATCAGAAGAGAGGCACGCTTGTAATGTAATGTACATTTCCATTTACGAAACGAAATATCTGCGCTAAAAACATCTCTAAAGGCGCAGTGCTGTCTCATTGTGCCGTGGACATTAAATGCATTTATCGGTCTGGTTTGAAGTCGTTGAATTCGAGGTGGTTGTTTGTCCTCGAGTTGGTTTCGACATCGCGTTGACCCACGTGACTGGGCCCGCGATCTGAAAATCTCAGCCCGAGCTCGTTAAACGGCAAGATTAAGATAAACCCAACTTTTTTTTTTTACCAGGTAAGTCCCACTGAGCTCTGTAACTCTTTTTCAGAAGCGACCCGGCCACAAACGATAGCTCAACAAAGTTGGCTTACCATGTGGACATTTATAGCAGCCGAATATTCTATACGCACGTGGATTCTCAATGTGAAGGGAAACACCGGAGGAGCCAGAGAAAAATCCACGTGACCACGAGGAGCACACGCAAACTCCAAATGACACAGGCGTCAGGGTCTGGATCGAACCCACGACCTCTCACCACCACCCCAAGCAACATCACCCGAGTGTGATCTTTGCGGGTCATTGGTGACAGGCGTGCATCGCTCCGGCAATGAGCGGGGAGCTGTCATCTAACATACACAGACAGACAGGCCCGAAGCTAAAAGCTGCGCTGCTTTAGCGTGGCCAGGGTGAGCCACTCCACCCCGAACTAGACGTCCTTGATCAGGGTCGTAATGAGTAGCGTATCCCAGCGGTTATCGCCGGACTTTACGCGGTAGAGTGGCAATCATCGGGATATTTGTCCAGGGCCCAAAACTCCAGAGGGGCCGATGAAAAAAATAAAAATTTTAAAATTAATTTTAATGTGAGCAATGTAATTAATACTACCTTCGTTAATGTATGTTTTATGAGGCTGTTTTCATGTCACCCAACAACAACGTTCTCCAAATGACAAACATTAACCCTGCCGAGTTGGAGCGAGGGAGGAGGTGTCTGTTATGTCCTGGTGTCCCGGGGGGCGGTGATACCAAAATCCGACTCTGCCAGAGGTGTAGTACAGCAATTGCCAAATTAAAATACAACTGCAACAAACAAAACAATGCACCCCTACAATAAATAAATGGAACGCTCCGCATCTCTGCCGCAGGGCGTACATGTGCAGCCATTGATTATGGAGCGTTTCAGAAATTTCTGGGACATTTTTTCTTATCGTTTTTTCCTTCTTCTTTTCTCCAAAACCTCTCAGCTCCTCCGCCCTTCCTCCCCCACCCACCCACCCTTCATCCCGGCCTCTTAAGCCACGCTTCCCAGCTTTCAGATCACCAGGCCGCTCACGTGCATCAGCGACAACGACACGGCAATCGCCTGCGCCCGCATTAATCCGTGATAAGCGCAGCGGGGTCTGTAGTAATTAAGCTCACGCTGCGATACGCATTTTTCAGCGGTAGAGTAGCGCATGATGCTCCCATATGGACAGGCCTCCCGATCATGGATTGGCGCTCGAGGGCTTCTGAGGGTGGGCCCTGGCACCATCATCGTGAGAATCTTCCTTCAAAAAAAGAACCTGAAGCAGATGATTAGTGCTGGATGCAGACAAATGTGACAATTACCTGCGTGTAGCGATAGTTTCATGTGCCATTCTGTGTTATCTTGGCGTGGCCTTGGGCCGTTTTGTTGTTTTTGCTGCCTTGCCCAATCTTGATAAATCTGACTTCTAGAACAGATAA